ATTACAAAAACGATGTTATGCTTATTTAAAAAGAAATCACTATATTTCAAAATGAGCATATAAAAAATAATAAATATCAAGTGATTTGTGGTACATCCAAAATAGCTCGGTTTATTACATAGAATTGTTAGATGACAATACGTTGTAAAAAATGTCTCAATACATGACAAAAGAGTTTCTCTGTTTGATATAAACAGAAATGAACAGTCATATTTTGTCTCGTTCCATTAAAGTGATGTGTCGTATCACGAATGTAAAATGTACGATCAGAACATTTGAACTTTGGCGAGGGAAAAAAATTAGTAAAATTTTCTATTATACAGTGGAGCCTTGGAAATTAGAAGTTCCAGAAATTAGAAAACCTCCGAAATTTAATAAGAAATCTCCGCTCTATTGCTGCTTCTGAAATTAGAAGATCATCTTCTAATTTCGGAGGCATTTTTTAATATGCTTATTTCATGCAATGCAGCTATTGTATCGAACGAAACAATTTTTAAATAGAACAAAATTTCTATTGGAATCGTTTGACGAAATTAGGAAAAGGTGTCACTATTTGAGTTTTTCCCAACTTAACTCTTAACTCCAAAATTTCGAAACAAAACATACAATCATGGCTGATTTGAAGCAAATCGGATGCAGAATCAGGGTACATCTTAACCCTTTGACGACCAATGGGACACATATGTCCCATTTTGTTTTTCATCTGTAATAACTACATTTTTTAACCAATTTTAGTAAAATTGGTTTCGTTTGAAAGAGAATTAATGTAGCTATCAGAAAGTACCATAATATTGGATATTTATTGTAAACGCAATTGGATAGAACACTCTAAAGTCAAAAAAATCTTAACTTTTTTTTCAACTTTCGCCAAATGCTATATAATTTTAACGGTGGAACTTTTAAAGCTGAAAATTTGGAATAATGTGCGAAATGTCCATTACAGTAAAACCTGTGAATAACGGAACCTGGGAATAGTGGAAATCGTGTCAATAGTGGAAAAAAAATTTGGCCGTTGAGCTCTATCATACAAATTGACCTGTTAATAACGGAAAACCGAAACTCCGAATAGTGGAAAAAATTTCTTGACGAAACTTTTTTTCGTCTTTTTTCCGTGTCTTTTTCATTTAAAACTATATTTTTTCCTTTATCAAAACCAATGATCATCATAAAAATCCTGCAGTACTATACAATGTACATTACATTGATTTCAGTATCATGTTTTACTTTCGTCTGCCAAAATCGTTGCTAATCGCTCCCAATAAAAACACATCCACTCGATTGGCGCGAGCAATTCAGTATATTTACAGTAAGTTTGAAAATCATTTATTCATTTGATGAAATGCAGAATTTATCGCTGCCAATTTGGCAGTGAAAGAAATGAGTATCATTTACTTTCTCATTTTGAGTCACTGTTTAGACTGCTTGATTGTTCTAAATAATAATGTTTGTCATTCACTGTTTTTTTTTTTCATTTTTCGTTCTTTCCCTTATTCATTTATTAAAAAAATACTTTTATTTCAGTATTTCCTTCTCACCTTTATTATATCGCTTGATTTGATCATTAAATACCTATAAAAATGTATGCTTCGGTTTTTTTTGTTTCTTTTTACCCTCAATAATGGAAAATCATGTTTGGTTCGACTCAAAAATCTGTCAATAACGGAACCTTTGAATAGTGGAATTCGTGTCAATAGTGGAAAAAAAAAATTCCCCATGGGATTCCGTTATTGACAGGTTTTACTGTACTTTCCAAAAATCATCGACTTTATTTAGAAAAAACGTTTTTTCCACTTTTTATTGCGTTTGGCGCGATGGGACATATGTGTCCCATTGGTCGGTAAAGGTAAATAAATACCCCGTATTTCCCTGTATTTTGGCCATTATTTGCGAATTTTCAAACACACAAATTTACAAAAATATTATTAAATTCGTGCTTAAATGGGCACAACAAAGCACAATTCAAACCATTTTCGGTTCAAAACAATTCTGAATATTTTAAAAACGAAAAAGATTTTACACGTAGTTCTTATGGGAGACATATTTATTTCCATACAAAGGTAGTTACCGTTACCGACCAATGGGACATATATGTCCCATCATTTTTTTCATATTTCTAGTTAAAAAAATTAATTTTTGATAAGATTTTTATTATGGTTTTTGGGGTCGCTGAGCACGAATCTGCAATCAGAATTGCAAAATTCCCATCCGTTCAATCTTGGTCGTCAAAGGGTTAAACAAAATGTTCGATTTTCGTTCAAAAATCAACCAATTTTTATTTTGTTCAGCCACTATGTTTATTTCGGATTCAAATTGCTCCAAATTTACTTGAGATTTGTTTTTCTATGAAAAATTACATCCCTATAGTTTTTATGAACTTTCAGCTGGAAATAAACATAGCTAATAAATCATTTTTTTCGTCTGATAATTCGTTGTATTTGATGGGAATATTGTTGAATTTTTTTTTATTGAGTCAGAGAGTCAAAAATATCGAAATCTTGTTTAAAGTATGGTTCAAAGTTGTATGTTTATGCGGGAATATCGTTCCGGAGTTACTGTAGCGCTATTAAGTTGATTTAATCGTGGAATTAATGCGAAAAAATTTGCCCCCAAAATTAAAAAATTTCGGAAATTAGAAGTAGTACCCGAAGTAGAAACATCTTCTAATTTCCGAGGCTCCACTGTAGAACAAAAAATAAACGAAGGCAGACGACTGTAAGACAGACAGAAGCGCAATAAGATTTATGCTAACGTTATATCCGGTGTCTCTAATTTCGTTACGATTGATGATTTTTTATCACACCAAATTTGTGACAGCTTTGTGAATCAATTTCTCGGCTTATTATACTTTGGACTATGTCGCGAGAATTGTTTCGTTCAGCGTGTTCTAAGGTCAAAAGTGATTAACATTTTTTTTGAATTTTCATTGAGAAAAACAACAAAATTCGATGTTATGGCGTCACAGTAGATAATGAATAATGTATAATTTTAATTGTTGTTTAATGTTTACTTTCCGTCCACCCAGATCCAGTCCATTGATCAACTTGTGTGAAATTTGTATATTTTGGCGATAATAGATAATTGTATTCATGTTGTAAAACGCCGATGTTATGAGAAGTTTTCAGGCTGATATAATAGAAATACAGCTCCTTAATCAGACAAGATGATTATTATTTCAAATTAGTGATTTAAATATAGATTTAAAAATAATTCACATGCCATTTCAAACCGACTCGAAACTTCGACAAAAACAAGTTTTGAATTCATATAGAACTAACGCCAGTTCTGCATTCTTTTTGTCAGAAAATTGACGAAGAACCAATTTTATGAATATTTTTTAACAATAAAAAGTACTCTTCTACCATTCAACTTGAAACGAAATGTTTGTTACTTCGAATTGCTTCCTAACGAAGGGCGCAACAGGGCATTTTTCAGGCAAACAAGTTTTCTCTCAGAATTTGATGAAATTTTGGATCTATATGTTTGAGATTAAAAGGAACAAAAAATTCTTCTCCCGGGACTTGGACTCGGGACTGTCCGGTAATCCGAAAGTTTTTTGTTCCTTTCGGTCTCAAACATATACATCCAAAAAAACATCACCAAAAAATCGACTCATTTTTATCCATTGGAAATAGTCTTGTCAGATGTCGCTATAGTGCTCCGATTTGTGTTTCATTTTGGTAAACGTCAACAACTAGACAGAGTTTACGTTGTTTCCCACACAGAAATACACAAACACCAATGCAGTGTCCGCATACATTATATCTTTCGGCATCTGTCGCTCTCTGTATCATCTATAGTGATGCGTAAACGATAGTTCAATATGATCAATTGTCCCTTTCGCACTTCAATGTGCGTGTGTAATATAGCGCTATAACCGATGCTTGAGTGAAGGATGACCAATACGTATTGAAATAAATAGTTATTTATTTGTATTGCCATTGCTCACTGCTCACGGTTGTGTGAAAAGGGCAACAAGTCATATTGTAGCATCTAACAATTTTCGTACGATGCACCAACATATATTATTCAGAAAAATGCAAAGTGTGAATGAATGGGGCAACATTGTTGACAGCGCCACGCCAAAGCGGTTACCCGGCCAACTACAGTCAGTCGTAACGCAAAGTGGCATAAGCATGTCCCATTTTCTGCATACAATCGTTGCTTTCATACGCGTGTGTATGCGAAAAATGATACAAGCTTGTGCCACTTTGCGTTGCGATTGACGTATGCTTCTGATTGAAAAATAACCAGATTAAAGTTAACTAAAACCAAATGAAAAGTAGATTCAAAAAAAAAAAATTAGAAAACATATTTCCTAAAAGAGTACCTTTTCTACTTATATTTGGCAAAATTTAAAAAAAATCATAGAGTTGGTTTCGCTGCAATAAGACTTTGAAATGGATTGTTCACAATTAATTTCTACTTTCGTTCTGACTAAACAACAAAGTCTTGTTGCAGCAAAACAAAGACTATGATTTCTCTAAAACTTGGTTAAATATAAGTAGAAATTATACTTTATTAAAAAATATATCTCTCAAATTATTTGGAATAAATTTTCATTTGGTTTTAGTTCATTTTAATTGGTTTTTTTTTCTCGAACACAAGCATACGTCAATGCGTTGCAGTAGTAACCAAGTGACAACCAACGTGAAGTTGGCTGCGTTGCCCGGTATGCATTATGTTCATCCTTTGGAAAAATAAAACGCAGTATTTCAAACAGACACCGTATCGGTGTTTACATGTTTTGAGCGTGTTGCTTTGTGTGTGCGAGTGTAAAGTATTTGAATTCTTATAATAATTGAGAACCAAAACCTAACGGTATGTGGTTGACAAATATACACGCAATAGCGGCGATGCGATAGCATTCGGCCACAACACACATTGGTCGCATCTTTAGGAAGAGTGGGGATTCTTTTGTATATGTATTCTATAGAGTCTGATTTGTTGTTATTGACATGCGGCGCCTCTTTCGGGATAATTTTTGACTGGCGATTCGTCTTGGATATTCTTTCATCAAATGCTGAGCGAAATTTGGTCGCCTCGAGTACTTGTCCCAAGAGCAATTATATTTACGTGAACAATAGCAGCTAATATTTATATTATGGACATCAATTTCCAAGTTATATTAATAATCGCTAATTATAATTGCAAGACCATTGACAATGTGACGCTCATAAATACAAAATAGATTTACTGAAATCAATTGTGCACAAATTTAACGAAAAGCTAAATAAAAAATCAAGCCCATTCTGTATTGGCTATTCAACTAATGTCTTAATGCAAAAGCCGTAAAATACAGTAAATAAAACGTGAAATAAAAAAGAAGCGTGCAAAAAATGCGGCAAATATAAGGATTACTGCAATAAATACTTCACGACGAATGTGACTATCGTGCATCTCTGTCGCCGGTGTGTTTGTGCTTTGTGAAAATTAAACATAACAAGCGCGAAGAATAGTCCAAACGAAACAACAAGCAAAAAAGAAACAATAATGAAAAGACAGAACACGAACAGCACAGATAATGAAGAAATTTTGTTCCCGTATCGCACAAAACAATACAACATAAAAGCGAGATCAAATTAGACATGATGAAAAATGAAATTGACAACAAAGTGCAAATTGTCGAACGTGAAACGTTTTGAATGCTAACGTAATTGAGTGAGAAGCCAACCAAAATGTCTGTGATTAAATTCAAGCTACAATTGAATGTGCGCGGCCAGTAACGCCGCAGATTTCAGTATTGACATAAACACGAGACGAACGATGACGTATGGGTACGACGTTAATACTTTTGTCTTAGAATAGACGCACGTTTCACTGTAAGAGTGGTTTTGTTTGTCCGACTCTTTCCTATTATATTGAATAACCTGTGTGAAATCAACTCAAGGTCAAAACACAAAACAAATCGCACACAATCCACTCGAAAGATAATGTAAATTTTATATTACTACACAGATATTTAATGTACAATCTACACAAGTATGCGGAGTTGGGTACCTGGTCAACTGCATATAAATACCACAATTTTGAATTGTGGCGGTTACTTGCTCATTTGCCGCTCAATCGTTTACATCGAATATTTCAAACTTTCGTATTTTTAATTGTTTTTACTTATTTTTGTGACTTGTTATCCTCCTTTGGCTTTGTGTTTGATTGTTAGAATAGTTTAACAATGATGAAAATTTGCGTTTTAGTTTTGTGTGTGGCTTTTGTGTCATCTGCCCCTCAAGTTAAAGAAAACGATAATGATTTTGAATTGCGTAAGTGAATGTCATTTTGTCTACTTGTAATTTATGTTTCTTCTTCATTGAAAATTTATGTTTCTGACGGTATCGAAATTTTGAAGTCATTGAGTGCCAATTTTTATCCATACACACCGCCAAGGCTAGATTTTTTCAGCAAAAATCCTTAACGAAAAATTTAATGTTGGAAATAAAAAAAATTATTCTTTAACGCCAATGACATTACTTTGCGCCAGTATTTTTCCATTGCTCATTTCTTTTATTTAAAGACCTTCTATCGCAAACATCACATTTGTTGAAGCATAAATGTAAAAGAAATCTAATTAATCCATCCGGAGGCTCAAGCTATAAAAAAACTGAATAAAACTATTGATACTTCTGCATTTTTTTTTGCAAAAAAAAACAACTTCTCCGTCGAAAGCGAAACTATTGGGGAACTACAGTAGAACACGAATCGAATAATATTATGAGATCATTCACAATAACAATATTATCGTGATATATTTTTTTAATTTTTTTTTGAGTACTTCAGTGTAAAATGAGTTCAAGTTTGAATTTATTTATGTTTCCCCCATAGAATACAAGTTTTGCCAGCCACTGATTAAAATAGTCTGTGAGATTTTGTTGATGACATTGCGATAAACTGGTTTCGAGAATTGCTAAATGAAATTAAAACGAAAGAAAAGGCTAAACGTAGACAGTTGAAAATATCGTAAAGATCTCTGACCTAGAACATGAAGCTAATGAAAAAAAACATTGGTTTTGCACGCAAATCGATGAATTTTGATTTGGCTACAAAAATATAATATAATATGAGCGAAATTTAATGGTGGATCTAGCAGAATTTCTATCGCTATTCTCTTGCGATTTTAGCGCTCTTGGAAAGAAAATCATGCTGCAAAAAATTCCAGGAATTTGTTCCTCCCACTATAATTAATTTGCACCCATGATAATGCGGAATTACAGAAGGAAATAGTATTAATTTAAAGAAAAAAAATGTGTGCTGTCATATCATCTTTATGCAATTATTACCAGTGAAAATAGACTGGATGTCATGAGATGTTAACGTCATCAACACACTATAAACGAATTACCGCCAATTAATCAGTTTGAATTGCAAGTCTTATGCCACACTGGTGCATCATGCAATTTGCATGCTGATTTGCAATTAGTTCATAAATAGTAGTTTTCACGAACTCGTCGCTTTAACCCTTTGATGCACAATTTTTTGTTTTTGAATCATTTTGATATATGTTTTGTGCCACGATAAATAGAGAAAGACCTCATACTTAGATTTTTGAAAAATTGCGTATTAGTCGAGAAAATCGAAAAAGAGTCAAAAGTGTCAAATCGTTATAACAGCCTGAAAAAATTAAATTTCATAAAACTAATGATGCAGAAAGTTAAATTGATGTGTTTTGGTCCTACGGGTCCTAATTTGACAATTGAAAAGAATGAACAATCCCACAAGATAACCGGAGGGAAAATGTGGAATTCTGCTATAATTTCGCATTTTTTTTACAGCAGTACATGAACAGAAAAAACTTTTCATTCAGCCAGCCGATTGTAGCCTGTAAAGTATCAAATGAAAGCTAGTTCATTTCCCTACATTTGTTTCCAAACAAGAATTTAAAAATATTCAGTGGTTTCATAGCTATAGCGTCTGGCGTATCTGGTTACTTTAGGAACCGAAATGTGATAAAGGGTTAAGGCATCCAATAAGCATAGAAACAAAAAAAATGATTATTTCATCTTCATAAACGATTTGATTGAAACGGACATCTAACGAGAATTAATTAAACATGTATTAATAATTAATTATTATAACATTTCAACCAAAGAAAAGATTCATGAGAAACCTGTTTTGATCATTTTTTCAATAGAGTTTTATATTATACAATACACGCAGTTACAATAAAAAACAATCGAAAAAAAAATCCCGAATTTATTAAAATAAAATGAATGAATTTGGCTCGTTTGACTGAAGCTAGATGACTATACAAATTACTGCGCACTTTTCAAATCTTCGCAAATGCTAAAAAAAAGTTGATAAAGAAGTCTTCTGCTTATGGTAAAATTTTTTTACACAAAATTCAGATATCATTTGCATTTGTATTAGTATGTTATTTGAAAAAAAAAAGAACTTCTTCGATATACACGGTCAAAAAGATATTTTAACGAGCGATGACTTTCGGAATTTTAAAGTCGCAAATGTATCGCATGAAACATTTTTCACATACCTTTTTATTCTCAATTTTTCTAACAGCAAAGAGCTATTTGAAATAATTATAACTCTAAGAAATATTACCTGGTTTTTAAACGAGACTAGAATTTATTCTTGTACTTTAAATGAATAGCTCTCATAAAAATGGAATGAAGAAATCAATAAAGCTTGAATTTAATTGCATTTTTCCTTCTTCTATTTTTGATTTAGCGGCAGGAACAATAACATGCCAAATTGATAGCCCAGATCGCGATGAGTGCATCAAGGTAGAGATCCGTTATTTGATTTTTTAATAAATTATTCTATTATTATAACTAATATTGAACAAAAAAACAACTGAAATTTTTGCAAAATATTGACGGTGTCAAGTTATACGTTATATGTCACTTTAACGTACTTTAATAAAATGCCATTTAATAATATTAAATTAATCCATCTATCTATAGGAAGCAATCCAAGATATGTTGCCAAAATTGGTGGTAAGTATTCTATAGCGAATTAGCCAGATATAAAGAAGATTATCCACACAATTCGCATAATGAAATGGCGAATAAAAATATTTTCGTGATTTTCCTTGAAAAGTTGTCTTTAAAATTGAATGCATAATTCCAGAATGGATTGGAGAGTCTTCGTATTCCACCAATTGATCCATATCGAGTTGAATCGCAATCGATGACTTTCAGACGAGGAGATGCCTTCGCTGCAACTGGCACAATTCGCAAGACAAACATCTATGGAGCATCCAACGCCAAGATCACAGACGTTAAGTGAGGCCACAATTCAATATTTTCATTCAAAGTAAAATTTTATGGAAGATTTTCGAGATTTTTCTTCCAATTTTTTTTCATCGAATTTATTTGAAAACCAAAATTATTGTATTGTAAAGTGAAAAACTAAGATTGTCATCGGAATTAAATTTCCAGGACTAAAATCACAAAGACACACATCAGCACTCAAATCAAAGCCTACGTACCACATTCAACAGTTGAGGGATACTACAAAGGCGAGGGCCGCTTCAATGGATTGAAAATAAAATCGAAGGGATACTTTAACGTTACAGCTAGTAGGTTTCAATTCGGAAATCAGGACTTAACCTGTTGACTAAATATTGCGTTATTTTCCTTCCATATAGCCGATATAAACTTGGTGAGCCGAACAGAAGGTGATATTATTGAAGTTAACGGCAAAGAATATGTGAAATTGACCAAATTCGAGGTTTCGCCACAATTTGGTGATTTAAAAGTATACGCTACAGGATTATTTCCAGATGAGGAGCTGAGTAAGTAAACAATAGTAAAGAAGAAATTATTCAATACTTAACAATAGAACAATTGAGTCAATTTAAATTGACGGGAAATATTACGTAAAAAGGGAATATACCGTACGAAGCATATTTGGTTTAATTCATGTTTAATGACTTGTTTACATGTCAAAAGAATTTTAGTTTCACGGTGATAAACAAGAACTTGTTTCAATGTTGTTGTTTTTTCAATTTACTATTGGTGATTTCAATGAATTGAATATTGTTCTGATTTGGATGATTTTAGGTCGTATTACATTGAAATTCGTTAACCAATACTGGCCATTTATGGTACGCGAGATGATGCCGCAGGTGCGAGCAGCCATAGAACCACTTCTCATTGAGGAAGCCAACAAGTTCTTGCTCCACGTCCCAATCAGAAAGATGTTGTATTATGGAGAAGATTCGGCCTAAATATGAACGCAAACTTTGAAAGTTAATTTATTTTCTAAGTATCGCCTGGTTCCAATGGCACAAATTTACTTCCTTCAATTGAAAACGTAAAAAAAGAACACTTGTTTTATCAGAAATCGATTCCTTTTTATTTCATGGTTGCTTTTTATAAACAAATTCGTAGGAATTAGTCCCATTGCTGTTGTTCAAACTGGGATATCTATGAATTTGTATATGTGATTGATGTATTTTATTTTTTGAAATACAGAATAAATTTTTTGCTATCGAAAACATGCAATTGTTTCGTCTATCTCTAAAGTCTAATTTTATGTTGATAAATAGAAATGACCGTTTCACACAAGATCAAACTAATTCCATTGATCCTGTCAATATGGTGATGAAATGGAAGAATAAATATAAATCCAATGCCAATCTTGGTGTCTTTATCATTTTGTTGATAGATTCTTTTCAATCCATTGCAAGAACGAGCTGACTCTTGTGTAGACACCGGGATATCTACCTGATCCGCATCCTGTTAATGATAATTCATTATTAATTTTAATCAATACAAGATAAAATATAATATTTAGTTTTTAAAACAATTAATTACCTATTCCCCACGAGACTACCCCTGCCTGGATAGCAAAGAAAAGGAAGAATGACAAAATTAACTTCAGTTATGGAAATCACTTATCAAATATTTTATATTTGTTTTCTTTTCATTCAAAGACGCTATTTTTAATTTTTTGATGTGAATTGGTTTTCATTTGTTTATTTGAATTGAATCGATTGTGAATGATGTGTGCTATTAATTTTTCTTTTATGAGGTGAACTGTCTTGAGATCGGCGTTCAAACACGTTTGAAGTAACGAAAGGTTCGTTTTGTATCACAATCCGATTTGTTACAGTTCCATTTATCGATTGAATTTTGAACTTGAGTATAAACAGTTTTGAATACGATTGAAAAAAATCACATCCCAGCACCTATTAAGAACATCTTTAGAACATAAACTCAATTATTATTAGCATTATTACCTGGTACCAGGTATGGCCATCCATAACCATCAATGGACCTGTTTTGATTAGAATGTTTTGAATATTTGTCAGAATCGTTATCGTTGTCTGTTCTCATTTGGAAATCAAACCTCCACTATCACCGCTACATGAGTCCCGGGAATCTTTTCCTGCGCATATCATAGATTCAATGATTCCGCCGGGAGCAGCGCCACCATACTTTTGACGGCATACAGCATTTGACCAAATCGGCACGGATACTTTTTGCAATATCGATGGTTGGGGTCCGTCTGAGGAGATGATTCAATCAGTGTAATAGTTTGTAATCATGATTTAGTCGGATATTTTTAGTGGTTTAAAAGATACATACTCTCACGAAGTGATCCCCAGCCAATAACTGTTTTTTTGAAAACCAAAATTATATTAGTAGAGTGAAAAACTACAATTATTATCGAAATTCAATTTTCCGCCACGCCAATACCTGTTCCAAAGCTACCTCCGTACAACTGCCCTGATCTAGGCAAACAAATTGGTCGAATGTTCGAAGTGTATGACACCGGCGACTCTAACGTGAGCAAAGCAACGTCATTGTACAAGGTTCGAGAGTCGAATGAACGATGTCTTACAACTCGTTTTACCTTTTTCACAAGATGCTGTGTTTCAAAAGCTGTGCGAATATTGTGATCGCCCAGATTAACGGTCATTCGAGCAACATCTGCCGAGCTCATGCTGCGAAAAATGAAATATATTATATCATTTAAGAGCCTGAATAAAATATAGATTTAATTGCTACAAAGCAATTTGCGATGCTAACAAATGAACACTTACTGGGCAACGCAATGCGCTGCAGTTAAAATATGTATGTTATCAATCAGGGATCCTCCGCAAAACTGTCGACCATTGTTGAAGAGAGCAACAATCCAAGGCCATTCGTTTAGAGATGCGTCATGCCCCCCAACGATTCGCTCTTGGTCTTGATTTCCATTTTTCGATCCGCAATAGTTTCCAGAAAACTGATCATGGGGCGGTTTAGTTGTGGTTGGAAATTGTGTTGGGAATTTGGTTGTATATGTAGCTCCAGAAGTTGGATGCGTCGGAAGTGGTGGTGGCCATATTGGCCGCTTTGTTGTAGTGAATTGAGTTACTCCAGCCGGCCATGAGCCTAGATCATATATCAAAAACGAAAATCTTCGAATCATAGCATTCAAATAAAAACATTTGATCCAATATTATGATATTTATTGTACCAGAAATTGTTGGATGAGTTGGCGGTGTATGATTAGGTGGATGAGTAATAAAGGCTGGTGGCCATTGGCTAATTGCAGAATCCTTATTTGCTAGAATAACGTTTTCATCCTCTTGAACTGGGGCTATTACTGGGGCTACTACTGGCTTTTCATTTATCTTTGGCGGATCAACACAACAAACGCCGAACGCTTGCCGACCGTCTGCGGTATAGTATGTGCATGTATCATACTGCCCCAGTATCCACTGATCGAATTGCGAGAAGTTTGGAATTTTTTTGAAATATGGATAACAAGCCTTGAATGATGTACACTTTCCAAAAGATGCTAGAGAAACGAAAATTTGTCATCTGAATAGAAAAACGTTGAAGCATGAATAAAGGCTTACCTTTTGCGGTGACACAAACTCCTCCTTCACCGAATTTACTTCCCCATGTCGTTACCGGATTATGCGTTATATCACGAAGTACAATATTGATATCACGTTTGGAGCGCGACTTTGTTTCTAGCGTTTCATCAACTTTTCAATAGGAAAAAGAAAGTAAATTATAGTTTAAAGCGAAAAGAAAACATAATATTTTCTCCATAAAAGTTCCAAGAATGATTCATATTTGTTTATTTTAATTCGTGACACAAATTTTTTGCAATTCCAAAAAAAAAACAATTTCAATTACATAAAAAACATTTTATCTAAACATCTCTTCAGCTCATTTGTTTGCTATGGCGTGTGCACGTTTCCAGTGCAGGCAATGTGCGCTGGAAGTGTCTCTCACACCATTTAGATTGGAATGTGAGTATTGGCGTGAGAGTAATTATTACGTTAGTCTATGACGTGACCGTGACGATAATGATGGTCAATGCGATGCGATGTTTGATTGTTGATTGGCAAAAACAGAGAAATGGAGAAAGTGCAAGTATACACGCACAATTGTGAATATCGCATACTTTCAGACAATGTGTGAATGGCAAATTGGAAGTGTGTGCCTGTGTGTGCGTGTGTTCGAAAACAAAAGTTGCATTTCTTGTATTTCATCTTTAAAGTTTTATGAGTGCACAGGCACTCTAACGGTCAAACGGAAAATGGTCGGTTTTGTGCTTTGAATGGCAAATGAGTGAGAGCACATGTATTGCGTGTAGATCAGGAAGCAATAGCTATTCCCTTTATTGTAAATAAAATCTTTGCAAATACTATCGAATTTGATTAGAAAATCGTATGACGTAAAAACTATCAACACACATTCGATAAACTGCGAACAGGTGCCATTCATCAAAAACGAATGATAGGCAGAACAGAAATGAAGAGACTTTGCAATTTTTTGCTACATTTGAAAAAAAAATCGAAAATACCGTTCGATGAACGAGTGCAAAAAGCATTTACTATTGACGAAATTTACGTGAGTCGAATTGAAATTCGTATGCTTGAAGATTTATGATCCGAAATTGCTAATGATTTCAATTGCGAAGAATATGTATGTTTAAAACTCAAACACGTGTAAACGCACAAATGTTATTTTCGCAGAAAACTTTCTTTGTTTGACTTGAAGAACACAAAAAACAAGGAAGATTCCAAAGAGGCGTGTGCAGACAATGTATTTGGCTTATGTCAGCTAGCTAACTGAAAACATTCTGGCTGACTCAGCGGCTGAATTCTATGCGTTGCGTTTTTTCATCGCAATCTGTAGCACAGAAATCATATATATGGAGATTTTTGTTTTTTCATGTACCGTTATTTGTCAACAAGTCTGCCTATGCCACTGAACATAGTATACAGCCCATAAGAAATGTAAAATTTTCGCCATTTATTTTTACATTGCCAATACATTAGTTATGGGGATTTTTGTTTTGTTTATTTTTTTTTGTTTGTAAACAAATCTGCCTATCTTTTTGCATTGCCTCTGCACATTTCCTATGGACATATACTGTGCACAATGCACAGTGACAATGCAAAAAGATAGGCAGATTTGTTTACAAACAACAAAAAATAAACAAAACAAAAATCCCCATATATATGATTTTTGTACTTTAGATGCGATGAAAAAACGCAACGCATAGAATTCAGCCGCTGAGCCAGCCAGAATGTTTTCAGTTAGCTAGCTGACATTAGCCAAATACATTCTCTAGGCGTGTGCCATTCTCTTCTTCACTTTTGGCGCAATGACCATTCAAGTAAAATAGTACCGTCCCTGTAATAATAATCAGAATATTTTTCAAGGCTCTAGACCCATTTTGAAGATCACTACACTTTTTGCACGGTCATGTTCAAAAATAGGCGATTTGTGTAGTTAAACGGCAATACGTATGAGATCATTGACTTGATAATATAAGTTTAAAATTTAAACAAAAATTGTGTTTTTTTTTTATTTTCATTCGTTTTGTTTCCCGTTGGAATGTGATAAAAGCACACTTATTTCGTTAATGTTTTTAAAATTAATCATTTTGGAGGTAGAATTAGTCACGAACGTCATTTTCGAGGTAAGAGCCGTTTTCATACGCAAATTGTGATAGCACCAACGATATTCCAAACTCACCGACTTTACGTTGAGATGCTATCTTAAATGTGTTCCATTAATGAGGTCAATATACGAATGTCAATAGCTCGTATCTTTTTTCTTCCGAAATGCGAACTTAATTCGACCAACAAAAACGTTTATAGTATTGAGACCAAAATATTTTGCTTTAGTCGAACTGATAAATGTAATTTATGGCGTTAAATGGTGTACGAGTACGAAAAGGATCGTGAAAGACGAAACGATATATATATATATATATATATATATACGGTATAAATGAGAATTGGAATGAAAGAATTCATTAAAAATCAATAGTTTACGTGTGCGCTGAATTTTAATTCTTTTTATCTTTTGCTCAAACCATAAATGGCAGCGAAAGAGAAAAACAACAAATTCCGTGTTTTCGTTTTGCCGTTATATTTTACACTCATTCGCAATCAAATACTACTTTGTTTATCAAGTGTTTCGGCATATATGCCGAAAGGGTTCCTCTTTCGTCCTTTCACTCTGTTCATCTTTTCTGGAGAAATTTATACACTTAATTACACGTTTAATATGGAACTGCAATGAAATGAAAAAATGTCAACGTAAACATCTGCCAACAGCCATAAATGTGATTACAAAAATTTGCATTAAGGGATTTGCAAAAATTTACATTCTCTCGGATCACCACACTAAATTGGATGTCGATATACATCAACACACAAATTTATTTCGAAATCGACTGATACAGCTTTTATGACCCGAATAAGAATAATTTTACCTTTACTACATCAACGAATCTTAATCTTCGTTATGCAATTAGATTTTGTTCATTATTTTATTGGAAAAAAAATTGTTAAATTGAACTATATTTGCAATTTTATTTTTATAAGTATGGAATTGTGAATATTCTAAAAAACATTTAACGAAAATGTAAGGAAATTGGTATGCAATATGATATTTATTTTTTCGCCAATTCAATATTTTACCATTTTGTGAGGAAAAACGAAATCCTATGTATAGAACAATAAATGGTCTTTGGGAATAAAATTCTTTCGATTTAAATTATGATAAAAATGTACAATTTAAATGTGAACAAAGTGGAAATGCAAGAAATCAACAAAATACAAAATAAAACTTACTTTCAAACCAGATTATTCATTTTCTAGGCTAAAACAAAGAAACGAATTCACACCTACCTTCGACGATAATCGCGTCGTCAGTCTCATATGTCTTAGCGTTTACTAGCAGCATACTGAATGCACCGAGTAAGTGCAGTAGCACTAAAAGTCTATTGGTCATGTTTATTTCAGTCCTTATTGCCTATTGTCGTACTATTTGATGTTGGTTTTCAATGGGAAGCAGAGCCTACGATTTTGTGTCGTCGTACTTTTATACGCGAATTCGTTTGTTGCCCGGTTTCTGTTGGACAGTTCTTCTTGATCTACAAACGACGAAGGTTCAAAGCAAAACAAAAAGGAAGGAAAATAAATATATGAAACAACTAATAAAATGCTGCACACTGATACACAACTGAAGTAGCTTTGTGATGATGTGATAATCAGATAAACGAATAGAAAACGAGTTCAAGCGGACGAAACAATTTGAACTTGTGGTCGTTGTTTCTCACAATAAGCTCTCACAAACTGCAATACTAAGAGAGCTGATTGCATTTCTTTGTTATGATATTTCGATGTTTACAATTATTTTCATTCGAACGGAGAACAGTAGAAATAAAAATTTGCACTTCACGCGTTGCATTAGCAATAAAAACTGGTAGCGTTTTCACACCCGAAATATAAATCAAACAAAATTACGACTGCAAAAATGCATAACAATGCAGCCAAAGAAACGATCACAAAATTTACACTGGCGATTAACTATCGATGCGTTCGCAAAGTGATGGAAATTTCCGTTTGTTGAGAAAAATCATCTACTTTTGGAGACAAAATAAAAGAAGCGTAACAAAAATGAATGAATTGTTTTGCGTGATGTTTCTTTGTAAACTGTTTCAATGCATCTTATCGATGCGTATGATATGTAGTGCGTCTCAACTTTGATTAAAAACTCCTCCTGAGCATCTAAAAAGCAACACAAACACACGTACGACTAATGACACAATGTACAATAAATCCAATTTGCGATTGGAAGTACGCAACGGAGTGTATTTGCGATGGAAAGCGCATAAGAGAATGAGAGAGAACTGAAGTAAAGTGAATTGAGCTAAATTGAATGGAAAAAAAATATGGAATGGATTTAATCGTGCGCTCGATTGTTCGTTTTTTTTAATTTGAATTCTTTGATTTATCTTGTCAATTGAAAAAAATTGAAATTCAAAGTTTACTATGCTTTGAATTGATTTCGAACAGATTGTGTCTGTCCACAAACAGACGAGTAATGATTTCAAATGAGTCTTCGCAAAAACAAAAACAAAAATATTAAAAGACGACTTGAAAACATTTTAGAAATGCTTAGTTCGAATTGGCAAAGAAAACTGATTCAGTCAAAATGATTGATATTCCAGTCAGCGAAAGATCCACACACCGACAAACACTTACACTTGAACTAAAGAAAGGAAATGCTTCGAATCGTTGCGTCAATGGTATTTAAAAAAAAATAGTAACCATGACATTGACTGGACGGTTTCGAAGTTAGAGCCTAACTGATTGTTGCAGTTATGGCTCGGCCGTAAATATACGCCTTTTCCCCACCAAGAATTTCAATCAAGCATTTTGGTTCTATTCGAGTATTTGAACTCTTTTATGTTGATATGGTTTGTTGTCGCATCGCACCGCGTTCTGAAGAAACATGGCCAAAGAGATAAACGCCAAAAGCAGACACAAAATTGATCAATAAATTCGTTTACTTTAGGACGAGCGATGAAATTCGGGAATGAGGATTTTACAAGCGATTAAAAACCTTTTTTTTATTTTTACCATCTTTTAGATGCTTGGCATCGAATACCAACTTAAATTTTGATAATAAACTAATTGACTTTAGCACAAAGGAGGTTATTCAACTCAAGTCATTCAATCGACCAGCGAATTCACTTTGAATTTTATTTCCTCAGCATATCCGTCGTTTATCTTTATGATTTTCCCGGCATTCGCTTCGAATTTCATTTGGCCCACACATTAATTAAAATCAAACAGTAAAGGATTTTTTAAAGATCGATCTATTTAATACATGAAAATCGTATATAATTTTTTTAGCCTAAGATAAAGTTAAAACGATCCTCAAAATATCAACTAAAATATCACATTCAACTCCAATACTACCAAGAAACTTTATCAATTATTTTGTTTAAAAAATACTTTTCTATTCAATATATGATGAAAAACATGGATTATTACGAATTTCTCAAATCCCATTCACAGGAAAGGAGAACAAGAAAAATTATTATGTTACATAATTGGGCTTAAAAAAATTGAAATATTGAAAGAATTGTTTTTCTTCAATATAGTGGCTTTTTAAATTCAATGCATGCAATGTGCTTATCAGAAGTACAATTAAAACGAATTGCATATCATACTATGGCTAAAGTTGTTGAGGCAACATTTGTCATAATATTCAAAGATGGAAATAATGATTGAAATTAATGATAAAAAAGTGATGTTCGACGCTAAAATGTGTTGAATTGTATTTTCTGTAACATTTTTTGTATGTTTGTAATTCAAAATGATTGCCGTTGCAGTATATTGACATTTCAGTATGCATGTGATAAATTTGGGTTGCGTTCCGTCCCTCTTCATAGAATCTTCATACAGTTGAATATTTGACATAAACATGTTTCCGTTGTGTGGTCATTTAGATTGAAACCAGTTTATGTAATTGATTAGTGATATTGAAAAATAAATAAATCTGCATTTGTAATTTAGGAAATAAAACACTGAATAAAATATGTTTTTATTTCAAACGAATGATTCAAAGGAAGTTACAAGCAAAGGACTTCAAACAATAGTAAATGGTGACGTTATGAACGCTGGAGAGTGAGTGAGTGAGTTCTGTATATCCAAACTGTTGAACTTATACGTTTGTCTCTTTCACACATGTACAACAAGAGCATCAATTCAAAAATTCAAAAAGACATTCTTATCCATTCACACTAACCATGCTGGCTGCAAATTTATGTGAAAGAAGGAGATAGACGACTAAACTGCGTGCGACGCTTAAAATTTAGATATGTAAAAAACGTAACGACATTCAAACAATAACATGATCCGTCGTAAAGTCCGTGTGTTTCAGTCAAAAATCTTTTGCCATGTAATTTATTGAAATATCATTGTTTTATAAGCATATCGAAAAAAACCAAAAACAATGCACTAAAATAAAACAATAAAACTTGTGACAATTTCCAGTGAATTTCGTCATCATTCATTGTGTTTGTAAAAATGGGAACCATGCGCAACGACCATTTTAAAATTGACATATACATTTGATTTAGATAAACAAACAGAATTGTTCATTTTACTGTGGAAAAATTGCATTTGTGAAACATATTTGTTATTATCAATTTGTCTCGTTTAGAAAAAAAATCGTAAGCTGTCACGTGAATAACTTATTCTGAAGAAAATTGCATCAACTAAACGATATGAGCAGTGATTACACAAACAATTGTACAGGTGTTGTATGTGAGAATGAATTGTTGGGTACAATTGAACCATCGGTTAGTGTCAAAACCATCGGAAAACACAACGAACAAAAAGAAAATCAGAGTGATTTAGTTAATGGCCACAAAACTATCAAAAAGGTTGCAATCACTATCAATACAATTGCATCGCCCAAAAAGATGGAAAATCAACTGCGTACGACCGATGCTGTTGTGGAATCATTTCCAAAAGAGCGAATTTGTTTGGTTGGCACAGTGGCCACTGATGAAAATGTCAAAACGTCAGCTAATTCATTCAAAGTACCAGTTTTGACATCCAAAACGGGTGTTGAGCTCTGCAATGATACCGAATGGATAACATATTTTGTACTGAGTGACTTTGGTGGAGAGAATTTTGCCACCATTCGTGAAAGTGAACAACCAATATACGGACCAGTTGCAATACAACAGCTTGCTCAATCCGGAAATGGTCTTGTCTACGCAAAGAAGCCACGGTACAATTTTGCAATGAAAGGGGTTGTCACATGTTTCTCCGGCTTCCACTCATTCAAAGATAAGCAGAAAGCAAAAAATGAGTTGCGACGTTTGTTCGACATGATCCACGCTATGGGAGGTAAGAATGTCATTTCGAATTGTTATTGTTTAAAAATTAATGAACAAACTAAATTTATAAGATTGTTTACACTTTATAACTTATTTATTTTTTATAATTATTAAATTTTTGACAGGTTCAATTCGGAAAGATATGCATGAAAGTATAACGCATTTGATCTCACCAACCAGTTCGGGCAAAAAATATCATTATGCCAAGATTTTTGGCGTTACTGTTGTGCAAGCTGCATGGATTGAGACAGCATGGGAACATCGTGATGAAGTTGATTTCTCGGCCAACGATGCCAAATTCATTGAAGCACACAAATTGAAACCATTTGAAGGTCTTCGCATCTGCTTCTATGGATTTTCAACAGAAGAACACCAAGAAATGGTCGATGTTTTGAAATCGAATGGTGGCCTTCCCGCAGATTTGGACGATCCAGAATGTTCGCATTTGATTTTAGCTAATAATGTTACTCATATTCCAGAGGCAATTACTGGTCCCAAGTCGCCAGTTAAGCTGAACTCGGTGAAAACACTACACGAAAAGCCTACTCCGGCTAACCTCATTACAGAAACACCGGAAATTGCGTTCAAACACAACCATGGAATGGTTCTGCCGGGTAATGAGGAAAATCTTTTGCAAGAGCCAGTTAATCTATCGCCCATTCTTCATCATATCGAGGAAGAAGAGGATGGAAACTCGTCAAAAACCAAAGAAATGTCAAAGCGAAAACGTGACAGTTTTGATAACATCTCCATCATTTCGACTGATACATTTGCCGCACAGTTTAATTCAGCAAAGAAACCAAAACTCATTCGCAGTGGTTCCATAACACGTTCATTAAGTCGAAGCATGAGCTTTGCCGGCATGAAAAACCCCATCAGGAATATGTTTCGTGCAAGACGCGACTCAATTGATCCAAATGCATCAATCAGTTCGGTTACATCCATGGAAAGTACATTTATTGACACATTAAAGCGCCCAGTGAAAGAAAAATTAATCAAACTGAAGGATCGTATCACCAACAGCAATCGATCGAAGCGAGAATTTTGCTTGACACCAAAAACACCCAGAAAGTTTAATAATTCGTGTGTAGAACGAGGGCAAAACGATGACGATAAATTTGTATTGCCAAATGAAATTAGCATGTTATCATGTCGCAATTTGAATTTGGTCAACAGCACCATGAATGCTACAATGATTGCTGCCATACCAGAACCGGAATATCAACCAGTTGGTAGCGGAATGAAAGCCAATGCACCACGATACACGAACGAACATGTGAAAAATAGTGATGTTGTCGATTCAGCGGTGCCAGAGCCACGGTCACAGCAACCAGTAGCATTAAGCTCGGATTGGTTTTGGTACACAATTCAGAAGGGGATTGCCGACACTGATGACTACTTGTTCAGTAACTACTTGGCAAATCGCGGCAGTATACAAACTGGCGATAGATGTGATTCATTGACCAGAGTTATGCAACGAAAGAGAAAACGCATCTCCGTTCTTGGTGCGAATAGTAAACGAAGAACTTCCGAAACAGCCCAACTATCGATGTCGAGCAGTTTCTTGGATTTCACCAATAGCCCGAAACCTGACTCGAAAGGTAGGCCGTTTGTATAAAACAATGTCTGTTAGAAATGATTGACTATTTCTGGTTTAATATTCCTTTACAGATTCCGATTGCAGCATGGAAAACACACCAAAATCAAAGAAACAAAAATCGATGCGTTTCAATCATTTCATGGATTTGTATTCGACTGAAACGAACTACGTTGGTATCATTAACATGATAATGACTGAATTTCAAAAGCCATTGGAAGAGATGGTTGGCAAAAAGGACGAAGAACTGCTTAACAAATCCGAGCTCCGGGCAATTTTCAGCAATTTCGCTCCACTCTTTGAAGTAAAATTAACATTATTAATTAATTAATTAATTATACTAATTGATATTCATTTTTCAATCTTTAGGTGCACTCACAAATGCTGAATAATTTCCGAGAGATGCAATTGAACTGGAAGGAGGATTGCCTCATTGGTAAAGTGATTCTTGATCATCGCGCAGCGCTATTGAAGGCTTATCCACCTTATGTAAATTATTTCGAGCAAATGAAAAGTGCTCTTCTGCAATGTATTGCTCAGAACCCAAAGTTTCATGCGTTTCTGAAGATTAATCAATCAAAACCACAATGCGGTCGACAAACGCTACAAGAACTGATGATACAACCTGTTCAACGCTTACCATTCATGGGTCTTCTCGTCAAAGATATTCTGAAGCATACACCAAAATCGAACCCCGATCACAAGGAGCTGGAGAAAGCATTGAATGCAATAAATGATGTAAACAATTATATCAACGAAGATAAACGGAAAACAGAGGGTTACACCGCCTTATTAAATATAATCAACGATATTGACAACTGTCCAGCCAGCTTGCTATCATCAAATCGTCGATATATTTCCGAATGTGAAGTATGTGAACTATCAAAATGTTTGGGTGGACGCGATGACCGATTGATGATAATTTTATTCACGGATTACATCGAAATATGTAAGATTCGTGAGGCACGAGGCAAACCATACAAACACATTCGACTAATTCCACTTAACGCAATCCCGTGTGTGTATGACATCAAAGATAGCGAACGAGTCTTTGCTATTGAAGTAAAAGACGAACTTTTCTGCTTTAAAATCAGTGAAAAACACGAGAAAATGGAACTATTGAAAAACCTCTGCAGACAATTGGCTGAGAATGCACACAAAATCGAATATGAACAATTCATACGAAGCCGTGAATCACATGAGCTCGGCATTGACATCAATCTTGGGACGTTGAAAAAAGTTCGTGACTACGCCAAAACATTCTTTTTGAACGAGTAGTTTATTTTCCATGTAAACATTATTTGTAATTGTAAGACATCTTTTAAGATAAGCTATCAAACTGATTACTGATTACAAACTATAAACTATATCATAAACACATTTTGAATACTGTTTCTGGCAAAACAGACAAAATAAAACCACACGATGAAAAAACGATTTCTTATTTTTTTTCTAATTAATATTACGTTGTTCGCAGAATTTTAAATTAAAAAAAAAACAAACTCGGAATTTGGTTTGAATTATTTAAAACAAAAATATCGGTCAAATTTTAGAAATGCCGATTCAAATTTGGCGCCAGCTGTATTCGTTGAAGCTGTAGCAACCAACGTAACGCTGTAGTCGAGTGCTGAATAACAACTGTCAAATTGACACAGCAAACGATTAGTACAGGTCGCGCTAAAAAGCATCACACATTGTTTGTGTTTGGTTTTCTTTGTGTGGTGCGGTAAAAAGTGAAATGTTCTGTATAATTTTGTAAATTCTATTCAAAACGGAGTAATTGTATATAATTAAAAACGTGAAAACTTGTATGAAAAATTGAAAATGGCTGAAGCACATGACGAAAATTCCATCAATACTGATCTAACATTTGAATCGGGTGACGAAAATGTAAATATTCCAAATGTGTTGGAATTGTTGTAATTTTGCATGTATATATATATGTATCACATACATGTGTTTTATACATTGTTTCAACTTCAGGACGATGTAATTAGTCTGACGAGCACAAGCAATACGGACACAACTTCACGCAGCCGTAGCGGAACACCAACCAACAAAGTTGCAAACGGCAACAAAAGAGGCAGGAGAAAGTCCAAAACACCGAAAGTAGTCAAGAGCACGTTTAAATTCAAGTAAGTTCAAAAATTGTTTGGATCGTTCCTTTTTCTTTCTAGTATGAAACTTTTAATTTTTCCAACAGAAATTTTGTGAAGGAAGATCATGGTGCGCCATTATTTGGCACACAGTTTAATCATTTCCTCAAACCAGGTCAGCCGCTAATTTTTGCATCGGTCGGTAGCAATCGAGTTTCTATTTACCAATGCTTGAAGGACGGTGGACTGCAATTGGAGCAGTGTTATTCTGATCCAGATGTGAGTTAATCTCATTTTCATTGCAAAAAGGATTTTCAATTTAATTTTCATTTATTTCGTTTGATGTAGTCAACAGAAAATTTCTATACATGTTGCTGGTCCCAACTAACCGAGGGAAATGTTACGTATCCGGTATTGGCAGCCGCTGGATACCGTGGTGTTATTCGATGTTTCAATGTGACCACAATGACCTGTAATAAACATTACATTGGACATGGTCATGCGATCAACGAGCTCAAATTTCATCCAAAAAGGCCACATCTACTGCTATCGGCAAGCAAAGATCATTCACTTCGCTTATGGAATATTAAAACAGATGTATGTGTTGCCATTTTTGGTGGCGTTGAAGGTCATCGAGATGAGGTATTAAGTGCTGATTTTGATATGCGCGGCAATCGTATCATGTCATCGGGAATGGACCATTCTTTAAAACTGTGGCGCTTGGATAAACCTGAAATCAAAGAGGCCATAGAGAACAGCAACACATTCAATGTGAATAAAAGTGAACGTCCATTCAAAACAGTCAACGAACACTTTCCCGACTATTCCACACGGGAAATTCATCGCAATTATGGTAAGTTTGAACGTCTTGAGTGCAAATCAAAAAAGTAATATTCCAACCGGATTTATTGTATATTTTCAGTGGATTGTGTGCGCTGGATTGGAGATTTCGTCATGTCAAAGGTAAAATTTTAAAGACACTATTTGGTTAATTAATGTCTTTTCCCGAAACACTATTCAGAGAAAAATTAAAAAATAATGTAATTTTTTTTCCAATTTTGCATGTAGTCATGCGAAAACTCGATTGTGTGCTGGAAACCTGGTCGTTTGAATGACACCAGCAATGAGTTCAAACACGGCGATTCGACTGCATCAATTTTACACCGTTTCGAGTACAAAGAATGTGAAATTTGGTTCATCCGTTTTGCCCTGGACCATCATTGCAAATTCATGGCTCTGGGCAACCAGTGCGGAAAGGTATTCCTCTGGGATATCAATACTCTAGATCCGACTCTGATACGAGCAGCAACTCTGACACATCCGAAGTGCACATCGCCAATACGACAAACTACTTTTTCGCGTGACGGCAGCATTTTAATATGTGTTTGCGATGACGGTACAATTTTCCGATGGGACCGTGAAAATAAATATTGACCTATATCTATTATTTATCACTCATTTCTATTCCTTTTTTCACATTGTTTTTGTAACTTATACTTGTATGTTCATCCATTTTTGGTTCATATAAATTTATATGAAGTCAAGCATATTCATCAAACCGAATCTTTAAGTCTCATTGAAATAAAGTTTTAAAAAGCTTGTAGTTTTGAATCGTTTGTTTATTCAATTGAAAACATCTATTAATATTTACATTTAAATACATCATAAAGTTGAGAAATGAGATAGTTTGCGTTTTTACATTTATACAAAAAGCGTACAAATTCATCAAAAAAATTTGTTCTGAAATGCACATATGATTTTATCATGTTGAACTTTCCACACAAAGTTCTATGCCTTTAGAGAACTAAAAATCGAAATATATGCCAAATTTCGATGACATTCCATGGAATCAAGAAAACTATACAGTAAACATTTAAAAAATCACGTAATGAGCAGCATTGGATTCGAGCAAAATTAAACCTTAAATTTGGTTTAGACTCAATTTAGTTGATGTCTCTAATTAACTATATTTGTGTCGTTTGAAAATATTTTTACAAATTAAAATTGAATAAATAAATATATTCTTCTAGGTGAACCATGAAACTTTCACCATTGTTTTTTCCTCCCCTTTTTCAAAATAGAAACAATAATAAAATTCGTAATTTTGTTAACAGAACATAAATAATTATACAATTTTTCAAAATCACATTTCAGCGCATTGGTTTGACTTTTACCGGGCACTGATAAAGAGGTTTACATCTGTTTTTACTTCCCAACATATTGATAATTTTTTTTTTAATTGATACTAGAAGATTTTTTGTATGCGTTTCATTTCGATTGATCTGTTCAATTTTTCAAGGAAGATCCTCTTTTTGATTCTTACATCTAAGCCTTAGAATGAATTGAGTCTGTTTTCAAAATAGAACATTTCATTTGATTCAATTAATTGGCTTGTTTGCTTTTTTTTTGTCGGTGACTTTCATTTCTGTCGAATAAATATTTTCAGTGTGTTTGTTAATTACAGTGATTTTACAACGTGATTTACATACAGAAAATTAGAACAATTTCGATGTGAATGTATTTTTTCTAAAAGTCTTTTACCATTTTTATCAATCTAATTTCTTGTACTGATTGTTTTAGATGATTTGGCGGTTAGATCTCAATTGATGGATTGATACTCTTAGGACAATTTTGAATAAGCTGGCGGTGAAAATTTCTTTCGCAAAAATTTGATAATATATAAAGGCAAACAGGAGACTAAGGTGATTGCAAGAACTTTCCACAGGAATTCAAATGACCAAATAAAATCCCAATCTGAAATGACAGTAAAAAAGAGAATAGGTTAACCAAAATCATTTCAACATGAAAATAACTACCGAAATCCTTACCAAAATAATCATGCAAAATAGCCAGTGAGAGCACATAAAGCAGTAGACTAAATATTTCAGCAATCACCATCAACCTGTTGAATTGCAATTGAAAACCATTCATTATTCAGATTTACATTTAATTAAAACTGAGCGTTACAAAAATTAGCAAATTATTTTTTTCTAATAAAGTTACAATTTTTACAAATTTACTCACCTATGCCACGTGCGAATGGTCAAAGCAACCATAATAAGTTCAGTTAGGATCAAAGCCGAAAAGCTAATTGATACTATATGAATAAATTCACTTTCGAACAGAATCAAAGCCCCGTACATGATTACCCCACCTGAAAAGACATCAATTTTAGATTAACAATGCATATTCATCGAATCATTCGGGAATGGACCGAATATTACCTTGGTAAATACTAATGAGGACCCAAATAAAGAATGTTTTATCTATATTGTTGAAGAAATGAGTAAATAAAAGAACACGTCAGTTAAATTCTCACTCTTATTCAGTCAAATCAAATATGTATAAACTATAATGTAAAATGTATTACAAGACAAACTGCGTCCTTTTGACAGCTCCTTGTATAATTCAGGATACGTTAATGCCATTTGTGAGCTGATATCTTGGTCAAGTACGAGCGAGAACACAGGGAACATTGTATAGATTGTGGCATAGCCGACCATTAGAAAACCTTGATACAGTGCGATTGATGAAACGTAGAAAACTGCCGAAAAAACAGCTTGCATCGTTGAAATAATTAAACCTCTATGAATAACAAATTGTGACAATGCTGCCGACCTCTTGTAAGATCGTCTTCCGTGCACAAGCAGCAGCTTGGCAATGTGTGAAAATTGAGTTATACTAAAATCTCCGGCCAATGAAGCTTGTCTTCCCTCTCGACCCTCTATGCCAATACCTGGAATTCATAATGCAATCGTTATTAGTAAATTATCACCTTTGAATTGTGCTACTGAGATGATTATCATGAAGACCTTTTGAGAGAAGAGAGAATTTGCAATGTAACAAATGGAAAAAATGCACAATGTACCTGCATCAGCCTGTTGAATCATACTGACATCGTTGCCTCCATCGCCGATGGCGCAAGTACGTTTGCCAGTATGTTCTTGGATCAGTGAAACCACTTGCGCCTTTTGAGTTGGATTGCAGCGGCAACAGACAACCGCCGGGCATGCTGTAGTTAACTCCATGAATTCACTTTGGTAGTAATGCAAACACACGTCTAAACATTCGCCAGATACAACGAGCGCACAATTCCGTTTGCGTCGAAATTCTTTCAGTTCGATATGGGCATCAGTTCTGTTGAGAAGAATGAACAATGAACATAATCTCATGTTTGAATTAACTGTTGTTGTTTAAATTACCTAGACGTAACGCTTTTTATCACATGAATTTCTTGATTACTCTCGACCAAATGTGAGCTCTTGGCAATGCATGTAGCCGTTTCAAGCTTATCACCGGTTAGCATCCAAATTTTAACGCCCGCTTTTCGGAGTAGCTCAAGCGTTTGTGGTACGAAATTTTGTAAGCAATCTTCAACCCCAGTTAAACACAACAATTCCATGTTACATTCAAGACTTTCAACCGCTGCTTGTACTCTAGCTCCACGATCAGTGACACATAAGCGGGCTGTTGTGTAATCCTGTTCGAATGTCTCGTATTCTTCTGTTGTAAGCACTTTTTTCGCTACAACCAATGTTCGAAGGCCCTCTTTGGCCATGTTAGTGCATTCGCGATGGCACCAATCGTTCGACTCGACAATGGACGACATCACAATATCGGCACCTTTTAAATAAAACGTTATTTCCCCGGTGTTTACATCTTTCACAATGATTCCCATTCGTTTACTTTCGCTTGTGAATGGGAACATTTGCAAGATTTGATATCGCAACAAGTTGGCATTTGCAATTGAATCCAATGTTGATGTGCTGTCGTAACTGCTTGACGTCGAGTTCAAAACATCTTTTGATTCGGCATTTGTTAGCATCGTGACAGCGGTGCAAACTGAACCGACATCAGTCGTATTCTCTTGTCTCGAGAATAAAGTGCTGCCATTGTCAATGGTAACGTTGTGCATTTGAAGTGTCATCGTGTCTAAGTCACGAGCCACAAGTGTAAGGCCAACATGTTCACTCCATTTAACCAAAGCAATTTCATCCGGGCTGGCTGCTTGATAGTTTACATCATCTCGAGACGATTCAATACTAACTGAACGTGTTGGTGAATTACGGTCACAGTTTCCGTTTCCGTTTCCGTTTTTGTTGGTTTCATTGATTGGTGTAACATTGTGACATACGGCAATCGCTTTAACGGCCTCCCAAATACGCCAGCCATCTGACCGTCGAGTTCTTGGTGTAGCGAATACCGATTCCAATTGAGATTTTTCGCTTATATTTAGAGATTTTATAATTGCTGCAACATCATCGAATGACTCATGCCCATAAGAAATATTGCCCAAATGGATTTTCTTGAATACCATTTCATTTTGCGTGAGCGTGCCCGTTTTATCGGTTAGCAAATATGAAATTCGACCTAATTCTTCTGGTATGGTGGTCGATCGAACGACAGTGCCTTGAATTTCTTTGTCTTTTTGAATTTTGTACGAATAATACGACTTGCCCATGTCCAAATTTACACGCAAAGAGATAGGAATAATGTAGGAAAAAAGAAGAACAAATCTGAACATATACCTATACCAGGGGCCATTGAAACCCTTCAGACCCATCATCACCAGTGCCAAACCGATCACAGCACAAAACAGTAATTTGGTAAGGCTACAAGAAGAAAAGTGGTGGTTAGAATAGGTTTAGAAATAAGTTTAAACCTTTTAAATGAATCTCTTTTTATATAGTTTGTGTGGTAGTATACTTACTTATTAATTTCCATATCGATAAGACCAACTTTTGAGCGCGGACTGGAATTGTTCATCACACTTCGAGTTTCACATCCAGTATAAATTATCACTCCTGTCGCTCGACCAGCTGCTACGACTGTATTTGCCCAAAGTGTATTTTCCAAATCTAAGCTGTCTTCTTCGGTGCCCCCTTCCTTTGTAAATGTGCCGATGAACGAATGAATGTCGCGTTGTGGTTTTTCAACATAAATGCTACTTCGGATATTGAACAATTCCGAATCACTTTGCAGTCTTTGTGTCGATGGGACAGCCAATCGAAGCTTCCAGTCAGTTTCACCATCCAGTTGATCCGTTCGCACAAAGACAGTGCCAGCTTTTTCCGTTGTTCGCAAAAGCACCAAATCAGCTGGAACGCGCTCATCCTTCTCCACGATAATAATGTCACCGACCTGTTGCACGCAAAAGACAATTAATATTCACTAAATGGTTCGTATTTACATTCAATTAGTTATTACCTTTAGTTTTGACGACGAAACCATTTGTAATGGTTGGTCAGGACCGACACATTTTCGATATTTTTGTGAGTTTACCTCGCGATCTCGTTGATGGCGTCTATTGGATAGAAGATAAAACACAGTAGTATTAGTAACTAATCTCATATGTTAGGCCCCTTATTTTTTACCTAATATCATCGACTGCTTCACGACATATCGTAACCGTTAGCACAAAACCAAGTGGGCCCCAATACGTGTACACTAATTGTGAAAAATTTATTTCATACATGTTAAATAATATATAATTAAATGAAGTAATTTTTACACCTACAATATCCTATTCGAACGTCAGGCAAAAATTGACTGATTGCCATAATTAAAAAGTACAAATTCAAAAAGAATCGAAACTGTTGAAACAGCACCAATGGCAGAAACGTGATAATATTGTATTTCTGAAATGGAAAAAAAGCAAATGGGCGGATGAATGTGAATGTGAATGTTATTATCGTAGAATAATAATAAATTTGAAACGCAAGAATCTTTGAAAAAGTGAGAAAAAACATTGAAACCGAAAATCATGAATAATTCTTTCTACTTAAAAAAATCAAGGGCAATTTTCTTCAGGCTCGAAACATGATTTTTCTTCTTCAATATCGTGTGCTGTCATCGTTAATTCAAAGTGTCTACTTTGTAGGACGCTCAATAACATGCTTAAAAAATAGATGGTATTCAGAGACGCCCACTTGTACAGTTATATGCCGACTTATTACTGTTTCCTCCCAAAATATCATTTGATATCATGTGAATTGATATTGTAAAGACTAATTAGAATTGCTATTTATAGACAATGGTGCGTACGATGTAGAAACGAAAAGTGATAATAGCAATGATATAACATATTCTTGCGAGTGATTCTTACCTGATTTCGGATTTCATTTGGTGGGTATTTTTCTTCGCATGGCCTTCCTATGTGTATGGTACGTGAGCGCAATTCGCGCGGTGAACAAAACTTCCTCCATATCCACCACCAACAGCTGTTAACACGCAACGTCAGCCAACACGAACAAGGATATCAGTTCAAAATGGACAGAAAAATATAAAGCAAAACGTTAATAACGTTGATGCAGCGCATGATATATATGTACACGAAAAAAGAAAAACAAAGAAAATCGCTAAACGGATGAAGTGAATAGCAAACGCACACACAGCGAAAATAAAAATGGAAAATCTGATTATGTGCGCCTACTGAAATCCGTTTACTATTCCGAACGTTTTGTTGCTTCTTTGATGGCAAGTGTCTTGTAGGGCAAACCTCATGAAATATTAAGCGACCAAAATGTTAGAGTGGAAAACCCATTATCATTAAAGCAACATGACGGTGACGCTAAATCTATTTGTCTACTTGCACATGTTTTGTTTCGTATGAGATAAGGAAAAAAAACAAGAACAGAACGTGGAAACAATGGCTAACGCAAAACTAGACTTCAGTGTACGAAAATAGAAAATTGAAGCGTTTATTTTCCGAGAAAAATGTGTTTACACACTAAGCGCTAAAATATTCAGCGACCAAAATATGCTTGTCGTTTCAATTTTGGCTTCTCAATGGGCGTTTAATTTTGTTGTTGCTACAGTGATTTCAATTTGTTTTTGTTTTGTCAAAAAGCCGAAGGAGAACAACTCGTACTGCACGAGTCAGTTATATACATGACGTATTGATTGAAAAAATCGATTTCGTTTTCTTCTACACAAGGAAATTCAAAATAAAAACGACGAATCGAACTTTAGTTTGACCAGATCAATATGTCAAATCGCCGATTGATTCGCATCGTACGTGGCCTTTCCATTGTGATGTCAATAATTCAAGTCAAAAGGGGGCCACTGCATGTAAAAAATGAATGAATTAGTTCGAACGAAGTAATGTTTGGCTCATGAAAGTAAACATAATAATTTATTTACAAACACTCCAATAAAGTTTGTGTAAATAGTAATGTAATAAACCCATGATATGGGTATTGCTTCAATGGACAACTCGATGAAAATCCGTACAGATGCACAATATATGTATAAATTGAATTGAAAATGCATTCAATCCATTTACTGGCGTCACAATAAATCATCGATTTTGACTGACTTACAAAAGCGGTCAACACTTTCATACCTACAAAAGAATAGCCACTTTCGTGGTTGATTATGTATCAATGGAGTCGAGTCGTGATTGATTGGTGTGGTCGATGTTATTTGAATTACATCGTCACTAAAATCGTCACTTGGCATCAGTTGCATCTCGCACTTATTTTCAGCATACGCACCAGCCCAGAAATTCAATGGCCCACTTTTTTTCTTAACTCGCAACTTTACTCGCACACAGCATCAAAATGGCATTCAAAAAATATATATGCAACTGCTGTTAGTCAGGATTTTCGTTCAATTTATTTAATTATATTCACATATCAATTGCATTCGCGATGTAATACATGAGATTTTCTTTACAACGTCGCAATTTACTGAACACAGCTAACATTCTATGCATGGCATGGAATCCATAAAGTTGAAATTAATCGCTTGATTGTTCAATGACATTAATTGGGCCACCACTTGTGCGAAGTGATTTTTTTCTGTGTAACTGTCCACTATAAAAATCAGTAATGACAATCAATTTGAAATCATAAACGTATTTTCTTTTTATTCGCTGTGCAATAATTGTTTTTGGAAAAGGTTCTTTTGGCGAGAGATGACAACACACGAAACTATACTGAATCACTTAGTTGCTGTGAGCCTACAATACGAGTGTATTCAATCTGTTCAGCTGATTGAGTTGCTCTCTCTCCCTCTCACACACACTTTCATTTTAATGTTCTCACTAACAAGCTCTAGTTTCAGATTTCTTTTATCATAAACGACAATTACGATGAACCGCAAGAATGAGAAAAAACAACAACAACAATATATAATATATCACTGTTGTGCGTATTTTTGTGACGATTGTGATGCTGTATTTTGAGTTATTTGTTTTGGTGTTTTGCACAGATTTCAATGAAGGAAAAAGTATACTGTGAAGTTGCCTTCGATTGAGCTCTTATGTGCGAGTAAATCAACAAACACATACAACGAAATTCAATTCCGTTGTATATGAACCGTGGAATATACAAGGTAATATCAACGACCATATGTTCACTCACACACAGTAAAGACGTGCTAGAAGAGAACACTTTTTAAAGAATTGTTTCTGTTTAATAGACAATTTATGTGCGCATGGACTATTTCCTATTTTTCGGCTTTTTAACAATAGAATAAAATGTCGTAGCCGCACAAATTAATGGATATATTATAATTTCTAAATCAAACAATGCTAATGGAGAAAACTTTGATTACATTTACGTGTCACTTTTATTTGTATAGTTTCATTTGGTTTAAACAAAAAAAAACTCATTTTCATATATTAGAAAGGATCAAATGCGAGTAAATATTTGATAAACACATTTGTGATCATGAATATATCGGTCAATTAGATCTGGGCTATTCATGTCAATCAGTGTAACCGATTCATTTGACTACACGTAATCATTCGATACCATAATTATAACATCAAATCGATTGTATCAGCAAGTATGACATGATGAGTGTTTCGAAGCGACGTTATGCGACGTGTAAATTTCACTACTAGAATTCAACCAATTCTCCAATTAATTGATTCGTGTATACGATTCGTTGAAATGCATCAATTTCGAGGGCAACAATGAATCATTAATAATTCACAGCAACATTGAATGCTGCCCATAACTGAGAAAATAAATGAAAACTGTATTATTCCAATTGTCGATTGAAATATCGCTATCACGATGCTTGAACGAAACCAAAGTTGTTTACGAGTATTTGTCTAATTAGACGATTCCCACTGAAAACATATCAAAATAATTTTTTTCTTATCTTCAAATTTAAGAAAAATTCCATTCTTCTTTTTCAAATTTTGGCTAATCGTTCTAAAATTACAATTTTTTTCGTTGAATGAACAATTTCACGTCGAATGCAAATATCATATTTTACGTATGCTTGCTATTTCAACGCTTTTATGACCGTCATAAAAAGAATTTTTATTAGTTTAAAGCTGTAGAATAGCCATGCTAATCACCAAGCGATCAAGAATATAATTTAAAGAACTCGACTAAAGAATTTCATTTCACTGGGATGTTGAATATTGCGAGAATGAAAAAAAAATACTTGTATTAAATCAACACTTTTCTTCATTGAATCAGTGAAATTTCCAAGGCGATATTTTCGACGGAAAAAAAATCACCAAGTATGAATAGCATTTCGGTCTATGCAAAGTTTTAAAGGCCAGCCTTATCTTTGATGAAACACGCGATACTGAAAAATCGAATTTTCGTAATTCTTGTACTGAAAACACTTGAATTTATATTTTTATACATATTTTCATATTTTTTTTCTCTACTTCACTGAAAAGTAAATAAACACAGCAACGTACATCGTCCAATAAATGGAGCAATATTGATACCACTTCATCACATCAGTACGAACAAAGTTTAAATTTCTTTGGCGATTTCTTTATATTTTTTGTTTTTTAAACGACAACAATATTGCTTAAGATGAATGCACGAAATATACTCCAACGGATGAATGAACAAATTCACAATTCTAGCGAACGATTTCTTTTGACCGCAATTTGCATGTGTTATGCCTTCATCAAATATTCACCCGAAGAGACATTTTTGTCGATGATTCAAGTACGTATGACGAAAATAAAAAACACACACGAAATGTTTTCAGCCTATTCGCAATGCGAATATATAACTGTAGTCGGTTTGCTATTTTTTATTTGACTAGTTGGTGTCGACGGAACGCGTAAATTCTTTTTTTTTCGATATGGTTGGCTTTCGCTTGAGTAAATGAAAAAAAGCAGCGGGGCAGAAACCAGAACACGAGCGAAATACGTGGAAAGCAAAACAACGGCACTAAACGAAAACCAGAATAATGTGTATTAAACCGACACAGCGCAGTGCTCGCGGATCGCCTGAGTGATCTAATACTGAATCGTTGAGACAATGAAAACATGGAAAAACTACGATGACGACGGCGGTTGCGACGAACATTGAACGAGTCTCGCGTTTTCAACGGAAATAAAACATGGACTGAAAGACGCATTTTGCATACGTGGTCTGCCCCACCGAATGAATCGTCCAAAACTAATCTTTAATTGAATTACTTATATAGCGAAGTATATAAACCAAAAGAAGGATTGTAAACAAATAAGGCACCCGCCAAAATACATAGAACAAGCTTGCAATTCACATGCCTTTTTTTTTCAATTGAATTGATTGTGTAAATTTCCTGATGAATGAAATTTTGCGTGAAAAATAAACAACTTGTGCATTTTTTAGGCTCAAATTACTTGTGTATTCTCAACTTACCCGCAAACAAAGCGTAATATTGTGCCCAATTTTCGAACACGTTTACGCCGGTTACGATGGGATTGGTGTAAAGCAATGGACGCGACATTGCCATGGCTGTTATTGGTGTTTCGATAGTCTCGTTCTGGATTTAACAAAAACTCGGTTTCAGAATCGCTCATATCAAGTTCACGCATTTCCATTGCCGGTCGAGCACATGCATTATTTCCTAGAAACGATTGAGTGAATGAAATGAAATGGCACCACTGTTGGAAGACGGTCGAATTGATTGATATATGAATTCGTTTGAATTCCGCGCACAAATGGTTTCACAGATTAAATTCTATCTTATTAGCTTAGTCACAAACTCTATCGAATGTTCGCTGCATTTCTAACCAACTCTAGTTTATAATTTTCTACATCTTTTTTCGTCGCACTTGGAATTAAAACTGAGCGGTTCTATCGAAGCGGCACACCATGCTCAATACAATTTATTTGCACGAACTATATTTTGAAATGTGTGAAAATAAAACAAACTGGAACACAAATCGTTTGTAATTGAATATTTTTTGTATGCCGCTGGAAACACTTGGATTTTTAATATGTCTACTTCGACACCAAATTGTCCATAAATTGTAAACAGTGTGAACGAATGACGGACAACTACGTTTCAGTAGCACGTTTGCGGTAAATTCATCTAGCGCAATGAATTCGTCAGCAACAAGCACTACACCAGCAGCGAGACTATCAACAACGGTTGGGTATTATTGCTCCGTACATTTCGCGTATTTCAAATTACTGTTCTTTATTTTTCTCTCTCCGCTTGTTACTTGTTCATTTCATTCTTCTCTATTTTGTTTGACGTTTCGCTCTTCTGGCTGCCTATCGAAATTGTGTGTGGATGTCGGCGATGTGTATTTTCTTATGAGAGACAAAAGACAGTTTCTTACTTCATTTCCATGTTTTGAGAAACTATAGATGCAATGCCATTCCGTTCCATTTGCATGTACATGTGTGCTATTGACTTCATTAAATCTAATTGAGTCATGAACAATAGACGGCACATATATGATTGATTGTCAACGAACGACTGTGTGGTTTTCTTTCATTAAAATATAATTCAATTATTGTCGCAGACGCAGACAGGCAAGTATCTCCACCGTAATCGAATTTGCGTAGGAAAATGTGAAGCCATAAGCACAATACGTTCAAGGGCGATTGATTTGAGATAACATCAATTTGAAATTGTTTTCGTGTGTACCATTTAGAAATGGCTTTCTCCAGCGCTAACTCGTTGAATGTTGTTGTCTCATTGTTGTTCTAGGGAACGAACCGTTCATTCATCAGTATTGCAACGACTATTGCTGTTGATATGAACCGATTACTGAAACAAACATGTGATTGAGCGTTGAGATAAACGTCCGGACGCACATTTCCGCTTTCATTTAAATTGATGACTACTATTCAGCTTTTCTTCACTTTGGCTATTTTGTGACTTTGATTTGTTTACCCAAGCATATGTTTGATTTATTTTATCGGTTCTTGTCTTGTGTTCGCAGTGCGAGACTTTTGCTAATATTTTGATATTTGTAAATAAAACCGTGTGTTAAATCAACATTAACAAAATACATTCGCCTGTTGTTTAAAAAAAGGAATACACACAACAGCCCATCGGTAAAAATAGCCTCGGTTCTATGACTACAGCACTTTTATATCGGAAGCGATGAATTAAAGTCAACGTAATTATGTGCGATAAATGCGTCAACACTGCGATTGTAACTAACACAATAACTACATACCATGAATTTTGTGATATTATTCGCTGTTCAATTGTTTTTTGACAATGAAAACAAAACACAACAACATTTTATGATGTACGGAGCTTGCTAAATCTTCCGATTACGATATGCGTGTAGTCGATTTCTATGTTGAGGTACATAACATATAACGCATACAGATGATATTGACACTTTTGTATATGGTTTTGTCAGTGTCTGCCCACCTACCGACCAAACGACTGAATGCTGTGAAGTTAGCGCGCAGTCACATTTATTCCACGCGCCTTTGAATTAAATGCGTTTTGCTGAATTTAGAATTTGGTTTTACGTTGAATGAAAAAAATTTAAAAGGGCCCTTTGCATATTTTTCCACCATATTTTAATTCGCCTTTTACATTTCACTAGAAAATTCAAATATTCCCTATCTAGATTGCTTATTTCGAAAGCGGTTGTTTCGTTTTAAGTTCAAGGTTAACCACATGCAAAAAAAAGTGCAGTGTTTTGACGTTTCGCAATGAATTCAATGCTCATGAATGTAAACAATGGAGCTGTAAGCAAATGAGACGCTTCGCATATCAGGGAACGCGCAATTTCAATTAGTTTCACGTCGACTGTAATAGTACAAACTAGTGAAATACAATGTTTGGTTTTTTCGGAGGTGCTAAAAAACCGTTAAAAGGATACAAAATTACAACGATCGAACGAAAGCAAAAATATGGTGTTGCGGCCGATTCATTAAAAATGTTGAAGGACAAGGCGTCTGCCAAGTTGAAGGTGAGGGTGGTTTCGGTTTTGATTGCACTTGATATATTCTTCATGCCATTTTCATTTGCAGATCGAAAATTCACGAGTATATTTGGCAAAAGATGGAACCGAAGTCGAAGATGAAGCATATTTCGAGACAATTGAGCCACAGACACTGTTTGTAATTGCGTCGGCAGAAACATACGTGAAAACTGGTAGCCAAAATTCATAACCAAATCTTGTTGTTAACCTTGACCTAATGCTGTTTGTTTTTTGCATTTTTAGATTTTCAACTGATGTATGAAGCCATTCGAAGTGTACATGGCAGCACTTTCGAAACGGCCGATGCAATCCGCCACTTCATCACGGAAAATCGAAGTGAATTTGACAAATTTGTTGAGGAATATGGAACAACAGCCAAGCAAACGATTGAAAAAACCCGGGCAAGTCAGCGAAACGAGCATATTGAATGGTTTGAAGGAGTTCCTATGACGTTGAGGACGAAAGAGGATGTAATGTCACGTCGATCGCAGGACCGCATTCGTGGTTACTATTACAAAGCTAAGGAAGAATTTCAAAAATCATCCATTTATCGAACAAACACCGACGCACGTCAATTGATTGATGAAATGTTGGGAATATTCCAATATTTTTTGATTGGTGTCGACTACTTCAGTTCATTGTTCAATAGAAAGTGGGAGAATCGACATAGATCAGTGCTTCAGAAGAATGACGACATTGATGGGACAAAAGCACCACCAAGAAAGAAAGCAAAAGTAGCCGCAATACGGGAAATTATACACGATGACACAACCTTGAAAGTTGACTATTATGTTTCCCTTTGTAATGAATTGGGAGACTTTCAATGCCATGGAATTTGGTGTAACGATCGATGTCGATATGACAACCACAGAATAAACCCGTATGCGAGCCGAGAGAATGTTATACTATTTCAAATGTGGAATCTAGACCATCGAATTGAAATTTCACGCACAGTCATTCCTAAGATACTAAGCGACGTACATGCGATTGTTATTGCACATGAAAAATGCACCAAACATAAACAACAACCAGCCAAAATGCTATCGGTTATGGAATATTTTTTGGAACTATTTACAGTGCATAATTTACGATTGGTTCACATTGTTTGCCATGATAAAGCCCACCATGACACCAAATCGAGCGGTACACTTTTATGTGATAAATGTGCTGAATTTAAAGCCATTCAGAAAATTTTGAATAAAATAAAAAGGTTTGAGGATTGAAAATCAAGGAGAAATTATCATTTCAATCAATTTAAAGCAGAATTTTGGGATTTTGAATATATTGAAAACAAATATTTACAAAAAAGCAGATATATAATACATCAAGTTGTAGTTGAATAAAAATACTATTTTCTTATCCAGCAAACTATTATGAACTCTATATATATATATGTATAGTGGATGCTGTTTATTGAAAATTCCAGTAGAGCAACAGTTGTCAATAATTTATAACCAATAAAGTCTATATATCAACATGTGTTATGAATTACATAAATACATAGTTACAAAAGACTTCTTGTAGTAGTAGAATTGAATATAGCTTGAGAAAAAAAAACAAAAAAAATTATTTTATTCCATTAAAGAGACATTGTGGATGACGTTTGCGAAAAGCGGCAACATGACTTTTGCTACAGTATGAACAATTTGAAACACCAAACTGACTAATTCCCTTTATTAAATGTTGATTTGGTGTAGTTTTCAAAAAGATCCTCCTTGAAATATGATAAAATGATTGAAAAAAAAGAAACATTCCCAAAATCACATCCAAAATGATCTAAAAAATAACTCCCTTTCTCATTTAAAATTTCCCACAGTGTCATTGAACGCATCCATTGCGCGCGTAACTGAACGCACGAGCTTGACATTAGGCCATTGCAATTTCAAGCGGACAGACAATGACTGAACGAAAATTTCTTATTTGAAGTTTCATTCGGTTCATAGTTTGTGCGGTCAGCATACATACAAATACAAGCGCGACAGTAAAGCCGGAGAATAACGCCATTTGCGTAGCATACAGAAATTATAGAGAATCATTCTCTCATTTTTTTGCCGTTTCGCAGATAAACAAGTACTAGGAAATTGAAAATTGTGAAATTGCCACCGAGTGGACTGGACAGTTGATATTGATAGTTTGTTAAATCGGTTGTGTGAAAGCGAGAAAATCATCCAAGATGACTCATTTTCATCAAATCGCCAATCTTCTGGAGAAGGTAATGAATTTTTTTTTCTCGCAATTTTTATTAATACTGCATTGTGTCAAAATGTGCATGCATTTGATTTCACAGGAAAATGATTATGTTAGCATTAGATTATTTGTTTGCCATTTTGTTTGTTTGTTGAAGTTGAAACAATGACAATGCCCTCTTTAATTTTTATTGTGAGGTTATTGATTCCAATCTGTATATTTTGATTTTTGGGGAAAAAATGTAGATGACATCCAATGACAAAGACTTTCGGTTCATGGCTACAAATGATTTGATGACCGAATTGCAAAAAGACAGCATCAAGTTGGATGACGAATCAGAACGGAAAGTGGTTCGCATGGTATTGCATTTACTCGAAGACAAAAATGGTGAAGTACAGAATTTGGCGGTGAAATGTTTGGGTCCGTTGGTCAACAAAGTGAAGGAGAATCAGGTGGAGACTATAGTCGATTCGCTGTGTGCCAATATGGTGTCGAATAATGAGCAACTGCGTGATATATCAAGCATTGGTCTGAAAACGGTCATATCAGAATTACCGCAAACACCAAACACTCTAGCGCCAAACGTGTGCCAACGTATTACGGGCAAATTGAGCGCTGCCATCGAAAAGGAGGATGTTTCAGTGCAACTCGAAGCATTGGATATTCTATCTGATTTGCTCTCACGTTTTGGTGATTTGCTGATTCCGTTTCATGACACAATACTCAAAGCACTGCTTCCGCAATTGTCATCACAACGACCAGCCGTACGAAAGCGTACGATTGTTGCTTTATCCCACTTGCTCATTAGCTGCAATGCGAATGTCTATGACAAAGTCATTGCACATTTGATTCAAGGACTTGAGGCACGACAAAATCAAAATTTGATTCGCACCAACATTCAATGTTTGGCCTCCATTTGGTAATTTACCATTGAGTTTTAAATATTCTTTATCTTGGCGAAATATAGGTTAGGTATCATAAAAATTTGTAATGTATTTTCACTTGCAGCCGTCAAGCTGGTCACCGCTTATGCAGTTATATCGACCGCATTATGGTGCTGGTGAACGAATTCAGCCAGAAAGATGATGATGAATTGCGCGAATACTGCAACCAGGCGTGTGAGGCATTCGTACAACGGTGCCCCGAAGCAATTACACCACATATTAAATCGGTAACATTCACAAACTCCATTTAGGTTTAGTCTTGTATACACTTCAAGTGTATTATTTTATTTTATAAAAATCTTTTTTATAAAATTTGACATCAGATTGTGGATTTGTCTTTGAACTACATCACATACGATCCAAATTACAACTACGAAGCCGATGATGCGGCTGCTGCAAGTTTTATGGATACAGAAGACGATGAAGATGTCGACAGTGAAGAGTACAGTGATGACGACGATATGAGCTGGAAAGTGCGTCGTTCGGCTGCCAAATGTTTGGAAGCCGTTATTTCGACACGACCAGATTTAGTGGAAGATTTTTACAAGATCTTATCACCGGCTCTCATCGCACGCTTTAAAGAACGCGAGGAAAATGTCAAATCGGACATTTTCCATGCATACATCGCGCTGTTGCGTATCACCAAGCCACATGATGATATCACTAATCCAGATGCCATGGAGCAAGTATCGAGCCCAGTTCAGTTGTTGCAAGAACAAGTTCCTGATATCGTTCGAAACATTCAGCCACTGATGCGTGAAAAATCAGTAAAAACACGACAAGACTGTTTCTTGCTGTTGCGTGAACTATTGAACGCCTTACCCGGTGCATTCACCAATAACTTTGAACTGCTGATGCCGGGCATTCAACATTCGCTGAGCGATAAGAATTCCACATCGAACATGAAAATTGACGCATTGGGTTTCCTGTGTTGTATGTTGACCACACATAACTCAGCCGTTTTTCACCCACACATCCCCACTTTGGTATCACTGATCCACGCTTCGGTATTCGATCCGTTCTATAAAATTGCAACAGAAGCTCTTCTCGTTTTGCAGTACCTGGTCAAAGTTATTCGACCAGTTGAACAGAGTAGGTTTTGCCAATAAACTGACAAAATGAAACACATTCTTATGTTAATTGATTTTCCAGATACACAAATTGTTCCCGAATTCACGCCATTCGTTGGCAAAATTTACGAATGTACGCTGCAAAAATTGAAGTCACAAGAAGTTGACCAAGAAGTGAAAGAGCGAGCCATTATCTGTATGGGCCAAATTATTTCGAATTTGGGCGATGTTTTGAATGCCGAACTAGCTGTTTGTCTACCAATATTTCTGGAGCGTTTGCGTAACGAGGTGACACGCTTAAGCGCTGTTAAGGCACTGATTATGATTGCCGGCTCGCCATTGCGAGTCGACCTAACAGCGATTTTGGTAGGCACAAACTACCTACTTTTAATTTATTGTCAAATTCACTGAAAATTATTATATATTATATGTTTCAGCATGATATCATTCAACTACTGGGTTCATTTTTGCGAAAGAACCAACGTGCTCTGAAACTTAACTCACTTTGGTTGTTAGACGCTTTGGTCAATAACTACAACACATATATTAACCCCACTTTGTTGAAAGATGCCATCGCTGAAATCCCACCACTGCTCAGTGAAGCCGACTTGCATGTTGCCCAACAATCATTGGTTCTCATTACTTCGACGGCTCGATTTCAAAGCCAAGCTTTGGCCGAAACATATCGCGCCATTTTGCCCGAAGTATTGAATTTGGTTCGATCACCATTGTTGCAAGGCACTGCATTGAATTGCATGTTGGATTTATTCCAAGCTCTTGTGCAAGCACAATTGCCTGGCTTGGGTTACAGACAATTGTTAGATATGCTCCGCTCGCTCGTTATCAACCAATCGCCGACTCAACAATTGCACAAGCATGTAAGTATAATAGTTTTGTTTATTTATTTTTTCAAGAGAATTTATGGAAAGGATTCACCTAATCTTGAAAATTTCCCGTTTTTAGGCTTTCCATTCGATCGCTAAGTGTGTTGCGGCCCTAACACTTCAGGTTCAAGATGAAGCGGTACCGTTGGCAAACGAATTGCTGGGTGATATTCAGAAAAAACGCAGTGACGCACATACTGTCTTCTGTTTGCTCACAATTGGCGAAATCGGTCGTCATTTGTAAGTCGAATGACATCTTACATAGTTTTACTGTGAAATTTTAAGCGTTCGATTTAAAAAAAAATCCATTTATTTATGTTTCAGCAATTTGTCCATAATTGAGCCGCTGCCTCAGTTAATAATCCAATGCTTTGGTGGAACATCAGAAGATATCAAAGGTGCTGCATCTCATGCGCTCGGCGCTGTTGCTGTCGGCAACTTGAACTATTACCTGCCGTACATTTTGAATGAAATCGAAACACAACCAAAACGACAATATTTGTTATTGCATTCGTTGAAAGAGCTGATTAGTTCTTTGTCACAAACACCAAACGGCCTGCAGCAGTTGCTTCCATCGGTTCCGTCGATCTGGACGCAACTGTTCAAACACTGTGAATGTCCCGAAGAAGGTGCACGAAATGTCGTTGCCGAGTGCTTAGGAAAATTGGTGTTGGTGAAACCAGAAGAACTGTTGCCACACTTGCAACAAGCTTTGACTAATGGTAGCCCACTTATGAAGACAGCTGTAGTTTCAGCCATAAAATTCACCATCTCAGATCAACCGCAACCAATTGATGTTTTGTTGCGACAATGTATTGGTCAATTCTTGTGCACATTGACAGATCCAGAGCCGTCAGTGCGTCGTGTTGCTTTGGTTGCATTCAATTCGGCTGTTCACAATAAACCAAGTTTGGTAAGAGATTTGTTGCCTACCCTTCTGCCACACTTGTATGAAGAAACAAAGGTCAAACAAGAGCTGATTCGCGAAGTGGAAATGGGTCCATTCAAACACACAGTTGACGATGGGTTGGATATTCGAAAAGCCGCCTTCGAATGCATGTACACATTGATTGAGCAAGGTCTTGATCGCGTTGACATCAACCAGTTCCTTGAACATGTCCAAGCTGGCTTAAAAGATCATTATGACATCAAAATGCTGTCTTATCTGATGACAGCTCGTCTTGCTACACTTTGTCCCAATGCCGTGTTGCAAAGTAAGATTTGAATTTTTTTTCCAAATTAAATATTTTTTTAAATACTCATTGAATTGTTTTTGGATTTTTCAGAACTTGATTTGTTCGTTGAACCCCTTCGAATTACGTGCACGATGAAGGTCAAAGCAAATGCTGTTAAGCAAGAATACGAAAAGCAAGACGAATTGAAACGATCAGCTCTTCGAGCACTGGCCGCACTGGCAGCAATCCCCAAAGCTGGTAAGTTATAATTTGTTCAACAATGAAAATTTCTAAAAGAAACTAATTAAAATCTTTGATATCACTCTAGATAAAAACACACAGATGGCTGATTTCTTGAAGTACATTCAAAATACGTCTGACCTAGCTACCGTTTACCAAAACGTGCAAAAAGATTCGGTAAATGCCTTGAACAGTAACGTCGCCAATTCATCGTCATTGGTATTGGATAACTCGATGGATCAAAGCTAGACCTGCCGCGCATCATCTAGTGATACATTTACAGTTAAATCATTCGAACAAAATCATGTCGAATTAAAAGAAAACAATCAAACGAAAGGATTTTCTCTAAAAAGGCGCATTTCATCATTAGGTACTACTACTACATAATTCAAAATTATTTTTATTTCAAAAGAAAAAATTTGATTTTCTATTTCATCATACGTTCAAAGTGAACCTCCTTTTTAAAACACAATCATGAAAATAGCATATTTATTTCAGTTTTTCTCTCTAAACCGATTGCGTCAGTACTAAATACGAATTCGAAAATCTTTCTCGACGCATATTCTAAGATTAGATTGTACCAACCTTTGCATTTTCAAAGAGCAATTGATTAAATAAAGATGATTCTAAAAAAAAAAAAATTACAAATCGATGCATTTTTCTTTACACGAAATTACCTGCTGAAATAGAGAAGCAAACAAGGAAAACACACACATTTGTGATTTATTTCAACGTTTTATTTACGAATTAATGTACATTATTTGCAGAAAATGCAATTATTCTGATTTACTCAAGTATTGTAATCAAGGAGATAAAATGAAAAACAATATTGCATAACAAGAAGCTTCCGTATATCAAATTATGATTCTTTGCCGTTTAGTGTGTTTATTATTAATATTATTATTATTCAATAGAGAAACAATAATCAATCATTTGTCCTTTGTTGATATTGCAACGTATTTCTATGGCAAGAGAAATAGTTACAAATCAGTGTATCCAGGTCCTGAAAGTACAAGAGATGAAAAAAAATCGTTATTAATAAATCATACGTAGTTGGTTTTTCTAGGGCTTTTGGTTGTTTATTGGAGAAAAAAAATATCTTCATGAAAAACACAAAAAATGAAAATACCAAAAAGCATTTAAAAAGCAAGCGACATGCATTAAATAAGATTTTAAAAAATATAACAAAGGAATTTAAATTTTATTCCATATCTTTTAGACGAAAACTTCACCTTTTTTTCTCTCTATGTTCATTCGATTATAAAAAGCAAAAAAATTGGTTGGAATTTCGAAAAATATTGACGCGATTGAACACAGTTCTGTTTTTATTTTGATTACGAAAATTTGTTGGTACACGCGATAGACTTGTGTTGAATGATATATGCATTAGATTTTTCTTGTTCAAATCCAATAACAAAATTTTCAATTTGGTACTTTACTCATCCAAAAGGTGGAGTTTACTCCCAAGATTTTTTGATGATCATGTGCAAAATTTATATAGCTACAAACAGCATATGTCTAGAAAAATGTTCAAGTGCATGCTTATGATGCCAAAAGTTATAACAAAATTTTTAAACTACGGATAATACTCGTGTGTTTTGTCGATAGTGTGAATGAGTATGATGTCTCAGAGTGTGAGATGAATTTGGATTCTTAAACATTAAGGATAATAGATTCTACAAAAAGGCAAAACACCCGAGGAATTGTACCTCAAGATCATATGTTCTTGTGATGAGTGAGGAGCCGGTAAGAAATAAAACGTATGAGGTTAGTGAAATCAAGCAATATTTTGCCAGACGAAATAAAAGATAAACGATTTTTTTGTTGGTTGTAAAAATCAATTTGATATTTGCGAATAAAAGCTAACCATTTTTCGTTGAAAATACACAATAACAAAAAACAAGTGGTTGAAAAAGTTCGACGTCAGTAAAAATAAACAAAATTGCCTTGTACAATTTGTACGAAAAATCATGATTTTATCTACGACAACAAAATCAACACCAACACAGATTCAAAATGAGAAAAAAACTAAAAAATATGAGACTGTGAGAATGAAAATGGCAATACAGGAATAAACATTCTGAAACGCATCAAGAAAAAAAATTCGCAAAAATGAATTATGAGTTCTGAATATGCAAAAGTGAAACATGAATTTACATGGGCAGCATAGGAGGTTCATGGTTCACTTTTGCGTATTCAGAACTCATGATTCACTTTTGTGATTTTTTTTTCTTGGTGCGTTTCAGAATGTTTATTCCTGTATTGCCATTTTCATTCTCACAGCCTCATATGATCGTACGTAAAAAAACCACAAAAAATAAAAATTGTAAACGAAAAATCAAAGGAAAAAAAAACGAATTAAAAAAATTATTGCCAGTGAGAAAAACAACAACAATAAACAACGTCAATACAGCTAGTACGTGTGTGGCTATTTTGCTATTTCAAATACCTTTTTATTCGTTTCTTATTTATGTGTGTGTGGGTGTTTGCTTAGTTTAATCGGTATGTTTATCAATAAATTGAATATGAAGAAAATCAGCCGATCAATTAAATTATCGTTCTAACGAACTCTTTTCATTTCGATGAGAAAATTCTTCATTTTTAACTGTTATTTTTTTTCGCAAACCGCTAGCTAATTCGTGTGAATGGATTGTTTGCGTTTTCTGTTTTTTTTTTGTATGTATGGGTTTTAGTGTCGAGTTGATTTGATGGGCATTGCGAATGATTGTATGCGTGGTCAACAACATAACAGTATTTGCATGCCTTTGAACACTGAACGAATGGTGTTTGAACTCAATGCCAAGGGAACGACAGGAGATGCGAATTGGATTAATGGGAAGTAGGGAATTAGGGAATTAGTAATTGTAACCGTATTGTTGATCTCGTTCAGGTGATTGTGATTCTCTTGTTTCGGTGACCCGACTCAGATCGCTGTTGACAGTTTTTGAACTGAGCACACGTGGACAACGTGCTGCCCAAAGTTTATTTTTTCGTCCGTACACCGACTGTTCTTGCAAATGCTTAAATGCTTTTGATGGGAAAATATCCATGTTTCGCTCTCCGTCACTGTCATAATAATCATCATGGAACTCTTGCGGGGTCAAAGCAGGCGTCGAATCAAACGAACTGTATGAACAGGAATCATTTTCTTCTTGTTGTTGAATCAATGCACGTCGTGCAGCGGATTGAATCTTTTCAATCGGAATATTTCGAAGGTTGCGACGTTTTGTTTGTTGCAAAACACTTTGCACCAGCTCGTCAATTAATTTTTCATTGACAGACGGTGTCATACTTGTTGGTGACACACAAGATGGTGAAGCAGATGACGATGGATTATCTGCATCAATGCTTGTGCTATTGTGATTCAAATGTAAACGCTCGCGACGCTCGGCCATTGTTTCAGCCTGTTTCACGAGTTCTGGATTTTGTTTGCGAGTTATGGAAACATTGTGCACAATTTTCTTTGGTCGAGTTAATGGTACTACGTCTTCTTCGACTTTGGTTTTTTCTGTATCACTCAATTCACTGTCGTATTCTTGACTCAATATTTTAAAGAGACGACTGTGTGTTTGTGCTCGTTCGTATCGAGTCAATTTTCGTAGCTCGGAATAGCATTCAGATTCAGTGTCGATGTCTTCCGAAATTTGACGATGAATATCGACACCCGAATCAGTTTCTTCAATTTCCGATTCATCGACAGTTGAACGTTGCATATAACTGAGTTTATTCAATTTGGTATTCTGATTTGACTGTGGTTTGCTTGTGCATTTAGGTTCTGTTTGAACGCTTTGATTTGGAGTCTGTAACACTTTTGGTGATGGAGATTTGCATATTTCCTGTAGTTGAGATTCGTTCAAGTTTTGAACACGAAAACCATCGAACTTTGGAGTTTGACAATTTGGCGCTTGACTTTCATTTATTTCGGTCAAAAACCGATGGCCAATGCTTTCCACATTATTCGCTTCACGAGCCATAGTTATTTCATGACGAGCATCAATTTTTGCCAGTGGACAGGATGATGGTTGCTCGAAGGCAGCAATCTTTTGTTGGACCGATAGATTCGCCTTGGAGTCATTTTCAGGATCTTCATCTTCTTCTTCTTCTTCAGTGCTATTATCAACATTTTGTAGCTGTTCCGTGTGCTGCATGTATTGTTGTTGTGTCTCAATATATTGGGGAATTGGTTGTACAATTGTGTAATCGCTTGCTATGTATGAACTGTAATTTGGTGTGTTGGTTTCCGCGTAGCTTGAATAATTTATAGGTGAATTACTTTGATTTTGTAGATGATGGATGTAATTTGGTTGATTAAATTTGAAATCTTCCTTGCGTTCAATATTTTCATTATTATTGTCATTTTGGGTTTTCATTACGTCTGTATTTTTCACTTCATCTTGTTCGCTTGGTTCATCGAAAGATGTGCAAGCATGTTGTCTATGGAATTCTTCCTTTTTACTAATTGGTATTGTTTCGAATGCTGCGATCTTAGCACGTACCGACAGATATTCAGGCTCAGGCTCAGGCTCAGGCTCATGTTCGCTATCAACGCTATTTTCATTTTCATTTGAAATATCTTCGTTAGCATAAAATTTACATTCGTCATTATTTTGACTACTCTCGTCGACATTGGAAATATCTTGTGATTTGTATTCTTCCCTGAAAATATCTTCTCTTGGATTCCAATGACTTTCTTTAAGCTTTGGGATATTTGTGGAGCGATCCACGCTAAAACCACGGTTCCAACACTTATACTCAAACTCATCGTTTCGGTGTAGCACTGGGCTTAAAGTCTGCTGCCTTGTGAATGGTCGATACGTTAATGGTGCTGGGCTCAGTGTGCGATGTCTCAGAGGCAGCGATACTGACACTGAAACTTCGGAATCCTCATCATTATCATTGTAATCATCAACACTTTTATTATTTGATGTGTCCACAGATGATTGTTGACTGTACGATGGGCGACTTCTTGGTCGCAAACTTACGCAGACACTTACATCTGGCGCCGAGTCTTCCGAAATGAGTGTTTTAGTCGTTACAACATTTTCTTCGACTTGTATTTCACTTTTTCCAACCATTACGGTTGTTATTTCTTCGTCATTCGATGATCGGCTGAACGATAATCGCAATGGCAAGCGAACAGTAACCGATGTACTTTGATCCTCCTCATTATCACTGTCCGACACATCATCACCTTCTTCTTCTTCTTCTTCTTCTTCCTCTTCTTCTGCTTCTGCACTGTCGAAATGTTTGCTTCCATTATCTTCATTGGCCAAAGTCGCCGACGAATTACTTGAGCACATACTGTCTAATTTAACACGTCTGTGCAAATGTTCATCTTCTTCGAAAATCACACTCAAATGATCATTAAATTCCACTGTATCACAGTTCGACGTCGCATCACCGCTATTATCGATTATAAACTCAATTATATCCGCACTTTCATCGTCGGAATGAAGCTCTGACTCTCGAATGTCTTCAATTTCGTACAAACTGTCATTACGTTTGCGATCATACGTGTCAAAGGTTTCTGCATCGTGTTGCTCTGAATGCGAATCATTTTGTTCAGTTTCCGAATCACTTTCTGATTGCGAGCTGTCCAATTCTTGACTATGTTGTAGAATTTTGCTATTTTCAAAGTTTGTTGATTTATTTGACAAGGGACTTGGAAGAGTTGGTTGATTATTGAAGATCGGCTTTTGATCAGAGTTCAAATCGTTATTCTCATCACACTTCAACTCGGTTTTATTTGCATCGTCTTCAATGGTATAAATTTGATTGAGTTTTGATGTGAGTTTTTCGAAAGCTTTATTTTGATTGGCCATTTTTTCCGTCAGATTTTCATAGTTGGTCATACTTGCACGGCGTTTTTCATTGTCTTCTTGAGTTGGAGTGACCACGATGCGTGGTACAATTGTTGATGAATCGGAATAACATGAAACTGGTCTGCTCTTTGGTGGACTTCTATCATAGTACGAATCATAAATGCATGATTCATAAATATCATCATTTTGCAATGGAACCGCTTCAGCAATCGAGTCTTCACAATCACTTTGCAACGGTGTATCCGGTGGCATAGACACCGTATAAGGGATGTTAGAAAAGGAATTATTCAAATGGGAAAATGAGTTCAAATGATCGTTCTTATCAGTGTTTAAGACTTGGACATCGGCTACAAAAATACACAAATGTGAGAGATAAATGTTATTATGAATTCAAATGTGTTTTATCATAGATTTTTTTTTGGTTTGGTTTGATTTGGTTTCAATTTATAGAAGATATACGAAAGCATGACAGTTGTCAACAAGGTATTTAGACTGAGATCTTTTTCTTTAGCTCCTGGGTGGATGGATGGATGTGAGTTTGTTGTCTGTACCCTAAATCGACGAAGTGAGTCGTTGAGTTATCATGTTTTATGATCGTAATTTCAATGTTTTTGGAAGGAGATGTCCAAGAGAAATTATGCACGAATCTTCAACACAAGTTTTTCCAAAGTCTACTTATTTATACTTTAGATGAACATATCATTTAGTTTTGCGCAACAAATTTTGTACATTTCACGAAACTAAAAAAGAGTTTTGTATGTGTTTAACTGTGCATCTCATTAAAATACAGAGTAAAGAATAAAAGTTTGGGTTAATCGAGTTTAAGTAGGGTACTTAGATAGATTTTAACTTAAATCTAAGCAATCCGTTTTTGAGCAAGGAACATTAAAAGTGAGGCATTAAAAAATTGCTTTTAATTTTGGGATCCAGATCTTTTTTTCGATATTTACACATCCAATTCAATTCAAATTTTTCAATAAATTTAGTAGTTGCGCTCTGGCTTTGGAATTGTTTTGAAACAGCTATTTTATAACTCTATCTATGTACATTTGAGTATTATATTACATTTAATCACATACCGTCATTGTCTGGTCTCATCACCGATTGAAGAACACTGTGTGGCTTACATGGTACCCAATCAGGGAATTGACTTCGGAAACGAGCTAGTTTTCAATGAAAACGTAAACAAATGAATATTAGTCAAAATGAGATGGAAAAAATTATGCGGCTTCGTACCTTCAAAGGATGGTGCGTTTTTTGAAGGATCTGCCATTTTAAAGATTATGAAAAATAAAATTTAATGTTCATCAAAAAGAAAGTGATGGTTAAACGAAAAAGAAAGACTTTTGTCCAAAATGATTATGCATACCCTCATTTAATTTCATTTTGCGCAATTGATGTTCGTTCATATCTTGTGCTCCAAGTGGACGTGAGTAGTGTGGTTGATGTAATTCAGCTGGTGCAGCTGTTTCGTTCGGATCCACTTTCATGGTGTCAGTTATCTGTTGCAACACACGGAACGACTTCGATTGGTTTGGTGTGGATCGAGCATCGCTGTACGGGATTCATCGTGCGAATTGGGTTTTAGTTGATGAATATGTTCAATAAATCATGGCGATTTATGATTTATGTAGCAAATATGAGAAGAGAAATATATGTGAGAAAAATATGGTTTAAATGGATAAGATCATAATTCAACAAAGTAATAAACAAATTTAAGATGACAAACTAAGCACACATGATTTGCGAGTTAATTTTCAATTCATTTGAATGACCTTATAAGTCGGTGATCACTAATATTTCCATATGATCAATGTAAAATGCACACCAAATTTTAACATGTATATATTATCAATTTTTATCCGAGATATTAAATAATGCTGTGATGAACCATGAACGAACAATAAATTAAAATGGTTGGTTCACTAAAATGTTGAATTAAATTGAAACGATTCACATAACATTTTTATTATGAATTGTGATTTGGGATTATATAATACAGGGTTCCTCTGGATTCAGTAAACAAAAACAAGAAAAGAATAAAAAAGATTAAAAAATTACTTCAGCGTATATTTTCCGAAAAAAAAACATGGTAGAAATCAAGCCTCATAAGAATTTTGGAGCCAATATTTATTTTCTTCAAAATTTCCTCTCTTTTTCCCAATTTTGATACTTAATTTCCATGAATATTTTGAAAAATGATTATCATTTGTGAAGTGTGAAGAAGATTACAAATGACGGTATATGCTTGATTCAAAGCCGAACAAAAACGAAACCAGAACAACCAAAAATGGCGTTAATCACGAGTTCCGACAAAAATAAAATCACTAGAACTTAAAATCGGATACCTGAGCCTATTTTTTACATATTGTAGCTCGGCTGCAAGAGGACAGTCATGTATTATAAATCGATAATTGCCGCTAGCGAAACATCAAACAAAAACAGTTTTTTGCGACACATTTCAAAAATCAAAAATTGAAGAAAAAAAATCAAATCAAGAAATCTTTGAGAATTTTCAAAGATAGAAACATATTAAACAAATTTATGTGGATTTATTGACAGTTTCGCGTGTGAGTGGCGAAGTTGCACACAATGCAGTGCATAAAGCTGCTCAAAAAGAAATACTTTCTAAATCAGTGCGACGTTTGCAAGTTGTGGTTTTCTTGAAATTAGTGTGCGCAGAAGAAATTCACAAACTGAATGACGGAAAAAAAGACAAAAAAAAGTGCAGTGAGTTAGTGGTTACCTTTGAATGACGTGCACTGGCCCATCTATGTATGGATGTCCGTCCTCCAATTTGATCGGAATAACGCGAGAGCCATCGCTTGATTTTGCTGTCGGTGATGTTACACGCTGGCTTATATCCCAATTCTGAACATTGTTGTAACCTTGGTCAACAAATTTATGCGGATCATTGTAGGTCGATGCATAATTTGAAGCTGGAAATAGAGTTTCAATTTCATTTTTTCCAAATAGCGTATCGCATTCAGATTAATTCTTACCAGTTGGCGCAAATGGTGGTGGCTGCACTCGATTGTATTGCGGTGGAGTGCTTTGGTACGGTTGAGCTGTGAAGCCTGGTGAAGTTGGAGTTTTCGTTGGCGATTGCTCGAATTGAATTGGAACAACACGTTCCTAAAAACCAAATTCAACCCTTGAATTGAAACTCTTCGAAATACATTTTAAATGCACTAAACTCACCTTTGATACACCAGCACTTGAATTATTATTTCCGTATTGAGTTGTTGATTCATTTGTTGGATAGTTCGAATTGGTTGAGAACGTGTTCGTTTGTTGATTTGTCGGTTGGTTCGATTGTGGTGCAGTTGGTAGGTTAAATTCGTCGCTGTTATTTGCCCATTCAGGAAGTTCTTTGCTGTTTGTTCGTCTCATCCAAGGTGGCATTTGTGTACCTTGCGCATTGCTATTTGCAGATCGATTTGGTTGTTGCTGATATTGTCGTCCTGGTTCGCTGACAAAAGGCTGAGCAGTAGAAAGTGGTTGTTGAACGCTCACTGGTGGTGTTTGGGCTTGTGTTCTTGTCTGTGTTTGTATTGGTGCCGGTGGAGCCTGTTGCTTTTGGAACGAACGCACATAGATTGGATATTTCTCGGTTGAATCGTTCGTGTTCGGTTGACTGAACGTCGTTTGATTAAATTGTTTCACTGGTGAAGCGGTAACATTACGACCTCCAACAACTGGCGAAGCAGTAACATTACGTGGCGATCGTGTATAAATCGGGGTTTGTGCTTGTTCCAGCGATGGTTGTCGTTGAAAACTCGACACAGGTGATGGTTGCGTTTGGCCGAATTCTTGTTGTGGTGTTGGCGGTTTTGGTGAAGTAGCGCGCTGTGAAGATCGAACGTAGATTGGTACGTTTTCTTCTTGTTGATTAAGTTTAACTGGGCTCAAAGGCTTTGGCAAATTCGGTTGTGGTGATGAAGCAAAGGGACTGTAGATTCTTTGTTGTGGTGAGCTTTGATTGAAATTGCCACCATAGTTATTGCTTGAAAAGTTGTTATTTTGGTCAGTTGGCGTTTTATCGCTTTCTTTTAGTGATGTTTGCCGTGGCAAGAATGGTTGTTGCACTGTGTTAATTGGAGAATCAACTTTGACGTGCGTTGGTTTGTTATATTGTTGTTGGACGTTAAACGAGTCAGGCGATTGAGTTTCTTGAGCAATTGGCTCTGGCGCCACAGCACCTGGCATTGGGCTTTTTGATCGCTCTTTACGAAACTCTTCGGACCAGTCAACTGTGGGTGAAAAGCAAATATGTGTAACGCTAAATGTTTTACAAATTTGACACATACCTTCTTTTGGTTTTGGTGGTGCCACTTTTCTCAAATTGGCCATTGGATTTGGTGGAATTTTGATTTCCGGCCGAAAGCCAAACGGTGGTGGCTCAAATGATTGTGGCTGTGGCGATTTTCGTTGCATCGACGGTGACTTATTCCCGTTGGCCACATTCAATTGTGCTGATTTCGGCGCGGGTGGAGGTGCTGGTGGACCTTGTGGAAATACTTGGACAGGCAAGGCGTGCACAGGCATTGAAGGTGGCGGGGGAGGACCAGAGGCAGCCGTATGTGTGTTTTGCTATTTTTTGTTGTTGTTAAAGTGTTTTTAGTAAATTGAAGTAAACAAGCTTTCTACATTTGAAAAATACAAATATACGTAGATCTATGTATCTTTATTTTAACAACAGTATACACATATTTCGTTATTATGATCGGATGTCAATAATTATTAATAAAATATTTCGTTTCCTAAAATATTTTATCAAGATCCGATCTTGATCATGAAATATGTTTCTGCCATCATTAACACATTTTAATAATATAAGCAAACGGGAAAACGTTCATCTGTATACAAAGAAACAATCACTGAACTGTGTCAATCAAGGTGTCAATACTCACCTGTGCCAATGGTGATGGTTTCGGTTGATTCGTAACCCCCTCCATGTTTGCGTTTCGGCTGATGCGTTGGGCCATCCGTGGGGACTTAATTTGGCTCAAATCGATGCCTCCGGGCGTATATGTGAACGGCTTCTTGTCCTTTGTCATCATGGCTTGTACACATGAAGGCATTTCTTGTTGTGGTTGTGTGGCGATACGTCGAGCCGGAATCGATCCATTAAGCACGGGTGGAGGAGGTGGCGCCGAGCTATTCAATGAGAAAAAATGTCAATCAATTTTATTTCCACGTAAGCGTTATTTGTTTGGCTCGGGTAAGAAAATGGTGATTCAAATCGTACTGCATTCTAATGCGCATTCCATTCCGAAATGTCGCCTAGTATGCCAATTAGAAAAAAATGAAGTGCGAGTATACAATTTGCAATGCATGTAAGATGCACGTAAATAACGCGAGCTCTATTTATAATTCATTGAGTCACAGGTGAAATATTTGTTTCAAATTATCACCGCTTCTGCTTTGCACGCTCTGAAAATTTGAAGAAAACACAATTTTATTTTTTTCATTTGTTTCGTTTGTTTCACAAACCTTAATGCGTCTAATTTGAAAGTATGATGCGATCATGTTTCAGCGAGAATCAATCAGGTTGGTAAATATTATAATTAGGATACTTCGTACAAATCATTTTCAGAAAAGCCGTTAGCCGAGCTAATTGCTCAAAATAATTAGCGAAGAGATTTTGAGTATTCAGTACAATTATATTTTTGATGGTAAGACGGCACGAGCACAATATTTGTATAAAAAAAAAAATTCGATTCGACAGACAGAGTCTCTCTCTCTCTCTCTCTCACGCGTTCATCTTCGAAGTGGAGAGTGCGCAGATGCAATCAAAAAGAGATCGTTACGTGAATTGTGATTCAGCCACCGTATTTCTGCGTGATTTTTTGAACTGAATTTATTATTTTTGTCTAAAAATAGTCGACAGCGAATCGCATACAAAAGTGACCGCTTCTGTATTTTTAATGAAATACAAAATCTTCGTCAAGTGTAAAATTGAGAAATATTTGCATTTAGTTAGTGTTTCACTTAATTCAGGCGGATCGTCATAATATCCCTGATATACAATTCAAAGGTTCATTGCTCTTAACGAGACTTGAGCTCATTTTTCTTTTTCATCCGTACGCAAAATATGTACTTGAGTTCTACCAATTTATCCTTGCTTGTTGTGGAAGCCAATTGACATTTCCGCATTCTTTTCTATAGTTGAGAATCTTTCTCAATAAATATCATTTGTCCAAAGCTATCACAAACAACTTCGAGGTTATATGATCTTCAGCTCGTCCACGTTCCCGATAAAACCGCAATATTATTAGTGGAATCAAGGTAATTTCCACTTGGATACACAAAATCAAACACCGATTGAAACAGTGCCTTTTGCGGGTATATCTACACGTCATTATCAGGTCTTGAAAAGTCGTTTTTTGCTGCACGTGTATATGATTTTCTGAGAGGATGAAAATGTGCGCTCGACTCGACACCAGACGAACATTGTCATTCGATGACGAGATTATCAGAGTATTTTTAAAAATTGACTCAATTCAAACGATACATATTTACTTGTATCCGCTTAATTACTCGAATGAGGTGGAAACTTCTCGGAATATCCTGATGGTGGAGACTGGCTTAGCGTACGTCTTTCGGTCATCAAATGACATACAATTTATGATGTTTATCTATTTGTCCGCTCGACAAAATATTGTGCACCCGCTGAGCTTATCATTTTATTCACAAGTCACCACCAATATACACATGTTACTGTTTGGCTTTCAGTCAACCCACGGCCGACCGTATAATTTATACTTAACTCAAGACACTCTGTCGCTAGTTTATCGCTTCTTTTCATTTTGTTTTCTCTCTCTCTCTCTCTCTCTCTCTCTTATTCTATTCGATGTCATTTGATATTTTGATTCAAGCCGCCGTCGCATTGGTGCTAAGACATTTATATGAATCAGTTGCTTGTGATGCGATTTTATATACGTAAAATGTTAACAGTCTATCGGATGTTGATTTAAGCGTGGAAATAATTTTGCAATGCCGTTGTAAAAGATATTTTTGGATGGTGTGTATATAGTGAACACTTGGCACTCGAATTGTATTGAATATATAGAAGAAAAAATGTATTGCGGTACGCTTGATTGCTCAACTACTAGTTTTTTTTTCAACAAGATGTACCAATCAACAAGTATATGTTTGCAATAATTTTGACCTTGTTCCTTCGAAACGTGTATTAATTAATGTGATCATCTGTAGTTCAATTTTCTATTTTTTTATTTCTTCACTATCTACATTTCGAGATTCGTAGGCAGTGCACACATGATAAATTGGCCTTAGCTTCCTTACTTCAAATTCAATTTTTTTTCTCCAAAAAGTGAATCTATCTCAATCCGAATGCAATGACGTCAGTTTAAGATTGATTCGAATGTGTTAATTTCACGAAATGTGACTATTACTAGCTAATGGAATCAATATTTTGATGCACAACACAGTAATCCAATTTTTATTAGACTAATCCAATTTTATACGCATGTTTCACTTGGTAACAGATTCTTAGGTGGACGTCGATTCAATACTTACAAAGTTTTTTTGTTACTGCCAATGCTAAAACGACGATCCATTTGATGTAAAATGGACTTTTTCGTGGGTAGCGAATGAATGATTTCATTGGCTTTGTCATTGTATGAGCCAAGCATTGCACGATACTTGGTATAAACAAATCGATTTAACTTCAAATTTAAATTGGTTGGTTTTGGTGGTTGTGGTGGTTTCACACCAAACTTCACCGATGATTTTGACTTGAACGATGACATTATCGCTTCTTATTTTGAGCGGATTTTTAATTGATCATTCACCAGGAATTGTATCAAAGATATTCTTTGTCATTTGATTTATTGAGTGACATTCATTAATTGTTTATTTTGTTTTCACCACTTTACGGAGGCGCGCTTATTTACTTCTATCTTTTTTTTATCTTTTCTTTCTGTTTTTATAACTGTTCACCAAAATTCGGAATAAAAACAAAGTAACAAATTTTTATCGATTTGATGATCGTTATTACGAAATGGAGACTTAACAAAGAGCTGATTTGCACTCGTGGCCAGTCGATTGAAGACTGTTGATAAAACCGCAAATGCAGGTAATATTATGGTATATTGATAAAACCACAAAACGCGCGTATGCTGCGGCTACACCTGAATTCAGTTGGTAGCGGGAATTTGTTGTAAAAGTGAAAAACAGAGACGAAACAGCAAAATACACACAGCACACGCAACTCCTATTAGAAGCGCATTCACTGTTTCTCTTTTATAACGATGTATGTTTTGCGTTTCGTTCAGTGGCCATTTCACACATTGGGAAAAGTAATATAATAATCAACAGAGTTTTAATATGAAGGAAAACAAAAGCAACAATTTGCATTTAAATGCACCCAATCAATGCACAAGAATTTATATAAATATCTCAAAAATGTTTAAGTCAGCAAGAAAGAGGTGCCATAAATTCGACTTATTATTATGGGCATTATTATAGTATTGATGGTACAGTTTTTTGCGTTTGGTTTTTCTTCTGTAATCGGAGCGTATCAAGTCATGCATAAATCACACATCAAAATATTTTATACAATTCGCTTCAATTTCTATTCGAGATTACATCTTTTTTTTATTCAATCGAATTATGGAAAGTCGAAGAGAATGAACGACATAAAAACAGATGCCTACCGAAATCCATTTCACACAGTGGAATTTTAATGAAACATGAACGATAAATATCGAACAATGTATGAGATTGATTTCTCTCGAACAATGTTAAAATGCTGTTTGTCGAATGATAGCACGAGTGTCTGAATGTCAACAGTGATTGTCCCCTGATAGACACATAATCTCATTAAATGGACCCTATTATTCAATGCGATCATTTCAAAGCTATTTTCAAATTTCGTTTCAAATGGTTTCGCAGTTCCACAGCAGTGGTTCAGTAATGCCAATAATTATCTGGTGTCAATCAACCGCAGACAGAAATCCGTGAATGTGTACAAGATGTAGTGAAGGAGCGCCATCGCCGGGAAACAAGCAAAAAATGTACAAATGTTTCAATCAGTTCAGTCAATTACTTTCCACAGATTTCTATTTCATTTGCTTGGCACTAGCAAAAAAAAACGATTCTAATTACCATTGAAACGTACGTTGAATCTCATGCAATGATTGCGGCAACTCAAAAATATTTCTTCTTTTTTATATTATTATGTATTCAGTTTTTTTCTGCTACTTCTTCTTATGATTGATGCACTTTTGTTTCGGTCCGATTTATTCCCATTTAAGCGGATTGTAATCGCGTGAGAGGTGTGCGCACACGATGAGTGAAAGCAAAACGCATTTATGCTTAACGTATTTTCCAATTCCTTATTGCATCTTTATCAAGCTGTCGCGCATAACGTTTCGGTTACTTCGACTACAGCCAACCAGAAACTGCATTATGAATATGAATGGTGAACAGTGTGCAATTCAAGTTTTCCGTTTTCAAGTTCAATGCACACATCGTATCATACGCTTGTGTTGTGCTAAGATTGAACTGTAATGATGTGACACACGCATCTGAAGAACACTCTCGATCTCTTCACATTCGAGAAAAGTTAAACGGCTTTTTCCTACAATCATTTTTGAAATGACAAAATGCTAAATATTAATCACATGTCTGACTTTTTTTCAGTAAAAAATTTCTCTTATCGTACAACAACAACATTTTCCTGCTTCAAATCTCCGCTATAAAATCGCACCAACACCAAGTCCAATGTGTACGCAGTTGCGCACAAAATCGTGGTCTGACTAAATTAGAAACGCGTCATTTGTTATTTATGTTTTATCGGCGTGATCTTGGGAGATTTTCGCACAAACAGTGGAAATTGTCGTCTCGTTAGAGAGAAAGAAGCCATTTTACGTTCAACGGAACCGGTCAATTAAATTATTCATGATTGGGTTCATTGAATGCCGATTTATGCGAGCGTTAGACCAGACTAGTGGAAATAAATGGCATGTAATGTAAATCGTTTTTGTAAACATTAAGTCGTAATTTGTTGACTGACCGAAGATAATTTAACAGCTGTCTTGAGAGTTCGTTGCAAATGATTTTGTCATTTGAATGCATTCACGGCAAATTGCGATGCACGATGTGATAATTCATCATACACGATAACAATTTAATCGTTTGCAAGCAATTTTTCTTTGATCATTCGCAAGAAATCGTTTATTTAACCTATGCTCCACCATCGTATGCACTTTGTACATGCTTCGTTTTGCTTACATTTGTTTCAATATGGAATGAAAATATAGAAAAAAATGATACAATTGTAATTTCTGTAATCTTGGCAATTGCTGAAGCCATCTGGACTTTGTGTTATTTTCTGTACAAACAAAATTAAGATGGTGAAGAAGAAGAAGTTATCTTTTGTCTTCAACATGTTTACGCATGAAAAGTGAAATGCGAAACAGTTGCAAAGGTCACTGAAACACTATTTTTGTATTCATTCTGGGGCAGAAGAAGAGCACATACAACATGAAAAATACTACCAAATGATAAGAAAGACGAACAACAATTGGTCTATTTAGGTGATACATGTCTATTATCCCAACATCAAGAACTGCCATCGAGATAAAGACTTGTAATCAGACGATTGATATTGATTTTTTGGGTATTTAAATGACTGGATTCTGCTTCAGAAATCACAGTCACTCGTGTTAAGTCAAAGTAATTGCTTCTGTTGTTAAGTAGGCCATAGTAGGCAAAAATATTTGATTTTGCCTTCATGTCCTGCTTTGCAATATTGAGCAAATTTTCATCATAATATATTATTTCTTCATTTCAAAATAAAATTGTATTCACATAAGCCACCATCTAGAATTACCTAGTGCTGTTAAGTAGGTACTAGTAGACATGTTGATGACGATGTCTACTTTTTCTTACTTTTACAACAACAGGAAAATAACAACTTTAGTTTGGGCTCAATCAATTGAAAACCACAAAGTTACGTCGTTTCCAATTCCACTTCGAGAATATGAGTTACAAAACAGCTTCTTTGAATCGAGTAAAACAGTAAATGGAGCAAATGTCGACGAACACATCCGTTTCATCTAAAATATTTTCAGGGCAATTCCTGTTGAAAATAAAATTTTGTGCGCGTTTTCCGTTCAGCTGTTTTCATTCAGTCTTTGAGGAAAAAATATCGTTGAAATCGGCTACTGCAATCTAGTCTGAGTTGTGATCCAGATGCGTGGTGAATGGCTGATGTATTGGAAAATTTTCGTTTTGAAAATGTGTTTATTTTCGTCGAATTAACCGCTTCATTTTGCAAACGCTAAAATTCTAGGGAATATATTTACCGCAAATTGGGTGCATTTTGAGCGCAAACAACTTGAAAGGTGAGCGACAGTACTTGCGATAGTCGGAATTGCTGAAAGCGCAAAATTGAATTTGCAAAAGTCGTAATAAAATCTACACTGAAATGTCATAAATTATACTATTTTTCATTAAGTTTTTGTGTGGCCGACCGATTCCCTTGGAAAATTCAAAACGCCGAATAGCAAAGCCGAAAATCGTGTATAGCACACACCATTGAACGTGATTCACCCGCAAAAACGCACTGACCAACGATCACACGAAGGAAATACGAACTTTCCTTTACTCTATAAATATCATTTCTAATTTTAGCGACGCTCTTTCGCTCAGCGCGCGGCTGAGATGTTTCGACCAAGACAACGCTACAAGCAATGGCTCTCACAATTTTTGATACACATAGAACGCCGAGAAATATAATATGAAAAACGAAATTCGCATATTATTCGATCATTTTCAGCCTTCATCCAAACTGGCGGCTCGTGTGTGTGTTTCTTTTTTTGTTGATGCGAGCCGTTTCACAAGTCGCAATTCGAATGTGCGGGTAACAACCAACCCAAGGCAATTTAACAATAATTTAAAAATATAACTGATGATTTGCCTCAATCTGTCCTATCATCTTGAAATGTTTCGCTCGTTTTTAATATTTTCCATAAAATTCGCACTTTTTCACTAAAACAAAAACTTACCTTCCATACATCTTTACTAATTTTCTGTTTTTCACAAACTTTGCACGACAATTAAATTAAATTCTCAAAATTAACTTATTCGTATTCAGTTCGTTTCCCAAATTGATTTTTGCTCAAAGACCCAATACACCAGACAATAAACAAAGCACAACGATCATCACTAGTTTAGTAAAATCACAACATTCAACAAAGAAATTGTATCTAGTGTCGCAATAAAAAAAACCTTAAAACGATTCCTTTGGTTTTTATTTAGTCCGTTAGTTTATTTCACTGCCGCCTAGCACCTTAACCAAAAAATAATCGTCAACCACTCCAAAGATTATTTATTAAAATCCCAGAATTTCGATTATCTGCTCTCGCGATGTGATTCAACACTTACCGCAAATCAACTCACACTGAAAATTCGCAAATCAAGAGACAACTCCCGAACTACCGAAATTTTGAGCTCACGCAAATTTTAACATCGGCTACTTTCGGTAAGTAGCGCGCACGCGTCTATGTTTCCACACTTACACACGCGTGCAAATCGGACTTTAATATCCCAAAATACAACTAATTATTGCAGAAATCCATATGTCATACGAATAAAAAATTAACCGTGACTACATGCACAATAAGTCTAAAAACAGTTTCGCTTATTCATCCGTAACTAAATTTATTTTGATTTTCATATAAATATATGAAGGAGTACGAAGAAAACAAGAAAAACGCAACCCACATCAAATCCATAATTATTTTTAAATTGTTTAGTTGTTACAAATCATTTATTGTTTGATTTCATTTGGAATAATCGCGATCACTTGGAAAGCCTCAAAACTTGCTGTTGTACCGCTTTAACTGCATATAAAAATAATTCGTAAGGTTTTGCTAAAAACCTTTTCAGCTTTATTCATCATGGGTTTCGGAAGTGAAATAAACCTTTCAAATTATTTTTTCACGGGTTGTCCAAATTAGAAATGAGAGAACAGTATAAGACTTCGCGTATATTGATTGAAGTTTGAGATTTGCCGACTCTTTTTTTCACAAAGAATGATAAAATATACGAAAAATTCGACTTGATTGCAAAGTATCGCAATCTCAATCTCAAAGATGATCACTTTTTCTTTGAATAAAACCCCCCAAATTCGTATTTTTACCGTTGTATTTTTAGTTTTTATTTTTTTCTTTGTTTTACCAAATTCAATTCTTATCATAAGAAATCCTGTAAAAAAGTTTTGAATCGAAACTGTAACATATAGGGGAAATTGGGGAATTGCGGGCCACCCGACTTTTCTCTGTCACTTGAATAGTTAGACAAGTCAAAATTGCTTCATTTGTCATGTCTTAGCCTAATATTAGTTTCCTATCACCACTCGACGCGTGAACACGTGCTGTTAGCCCTCTGCAATAAGTGCATTTACAAAAATTCTAAAATATTTTTTTCTAATCATCGTGTTTGCATATTTTAAACGACCTTTTTTCGATAATAAATTCAGGTAAGTATGTTTTTTTTTATGGTGTGTCATTATTCTTCCGCCTCACAAAAGGAATTTTGCATGAAGATACATTCAGTGAGTCATGCGCAACCATCTTGTAATTATGAGCATTTGGGGAATTCCGGGCCATTTTTTCTGGGGAATTACGGGCCACTACATTTTTGACATTAGATGAGTTCAAAACGCATGTTTATTGCACATTCAATCTTTTTCAAGCCAAATTTCGACAAAATATCAGTTAAGTGTCCTTTTTAAACATATATTTTTGTTTTTCGACAATTTCGTAGTCATCATGACACCGATGCCAAGTTATTATGCGAAGACAGAGCCAGAAATTGGAAAAATAACAACAACGAAAGGATGCACAAACAAAACCACCAGCAACAAAGAAGCGCAAAGCCAGTGCTGTATCAACCACGCTAAAGAAGAAACAGCTCACTCAATCTTCTACTGAAGAAGAAGAAGAAGATGTTTACATCTGCATCATTTGCAAGGAAAATATGCCAAAGAAGCTCAATCGAAATAATTCCATTCATTGCGATTCATGCGACCAAGTAGTTCACTTGAAATGCGCCAATATGACGACCAGCTCTTTTACATGCGCTACCTGCGAATTATCGGACTAATTTTGATCTTGATTTTAGGATTTTTCAATTTCATTTCATTTAAAATAATTTCTTTTGTCATTTTGAACGATCAATAAACATTTTTCACCAATATATTGTCTGTTTTATGTCAATCCATGAAGTGGCCCGCAATTCCCCATGATTTTTGAAAATGTCAAAAACGTCCTTTTTTTGCCAACCACCAAATTTGGTTTTAGCAAAGTTGAATTTTTATAAGTGAAAATACTCAAATGGTAGGATTTAAGGCGTACTACAACTGAGATATTCTAATTTTGAAGAAAATTATATTTATCACAAAATTATGAACGAAAAAGAAACTGTGGCCCGGAATTCCCCAATTTCCCCTATTATATATTTACTAACACAATTCAACCATATCAAATGATTCAATATCATATTGACATAATACGAAATCAATGAAGTGATGAATAAATCGTATGAATCAGCTGTCAACGCTCATTAAATGTATGTAAATGACGCCAATTCCACATAATGTGTTTTTTACTAACCGATATCCGGAATGATCTGGCACAAGCGAATGAAGCTTTGATGTACATTCTTCGAATGATTTGTTTAGCTTGCATTTTCGCTTTTCAAGTTGGCAATTTGACGAGTCAATTAATTTTCATGATCAATCATCATCACGAACAGATCCCCGGTAATCGCCCCATCGAGGCATTTCACCGAAAATTGAATTCTCATGAAAATTCGCTACAAAATTATTGTTATTATTCGCGGCTAAAGTAATCATTCAATACTATGATTTTAACACAGACCGACACATGATTACCGATTTTGCACGTGAGGCAAATATTCCATATCGTCTGTACACCAAATATTTATATGAATTGATACCCTTTAAATCATTGTGGTTTTTGTTGAGTAATGACTTTTTACTAATCTGAATAGATTCACCATAACAATGGAATCAATTGTAAACCACAAGCGAAAAGAAGAGTTTGCTAAGATTTAGTTTTCGTTGTTTATGATGAGTTATGCTTTCGATCTCACAGGCGATTATCTTATCTTTCACTTCCTGATCAAATCAAATTGAATAATTTGGCACAATGGTTTTCATGTCATCTAATTAGATATAAATGGTTTGAATTATTGGCATTTGGGTATCGATTTGATTTCATTAGATGGTCATGATTCTGCGGTTACATAATGAAATTCAAATGCGGGCTGACGATAGAATGCTGCTGAATGAATTATGTTTTTAGTGATCAAGACAAATTGACTTTCACTGGTGCGCGAATGACCATTAAACACTGGAGTGAATAAAACAATGGAAGCGTGAGATTGTTTGTGTTTTCGACGCATTCAGTTACCGAATGCCATAAATTGCATGGTTTATTCAGCGGCCGCATCTGCTGCTATTGCTGCTTCTTCTGCTTGTTTATGTTTTTATGTTTTGACTTGATGAGTAATTATTTGAACCATGGTTAGATAATGCGGTTGAACGCCAAAAAGAATTATGACATTTTGCTGTGCGTTGATTTTTTTGTCTGTTCCCTGATCCCAAGTTTTAATTGAATAACAATTATTGGCTCATTGGCTGTAACGAGCATATCAATCTCATTCCCATCAAAGCCCCGGCAAACGAACTGATTGCATGAAAATTGCAGCGTCGAATTAAAAAATCGGTCCGTGATTTGTTTGACGTAAGCAATTTTCGGTAAGTTCGTTCACGTTCCGGCTCATTGAAATGCCTTTTGATTGAATTTCGTCAATTACATCGTATAAGAAAGCAAATAGTCTCGTTACAAATTGTTGAAATATTGTTGAAGCTGCCAAGTCGAGACACGCTGCTAGCATCAATCGGAAGATTGAGAAAAGAGAAATAAAAACATGTTCAAACCAAAATCAAACACACTTCAATTTGAAAATGCTTCGGTTCGGTTGGTCAAATTGCTTAGAGTCAAATGCAATTTAAACAAGCACTGAACCTTATTGAAACTGACAGTTGCCACACTCACTACTTTTGCAATCATTATTCCCCTGTTGCCCCCGTTACATGGTGATGCTCACTTAGCCTCTTCGCTTGTTGCCTGCCATTTCAGAATATTTAAAAATAATAAACCTTAACTGGAGGTGAAAAACAACAACAAATTGCTTCCTCTGTTTTTTTTTTTCTTTTCACATTTTCGTCAACTGCACTTTTTTTACTTTCAAAGACGGAAGATAAAAACGTAAATCCAAGAAAAAGCGAAAATCCGAACGGAAAATGAATAGAGAGACCAAAGACACGACACAAAAATGCATTCGGTTGTGTTTCGATTGAGCCGAGCGGTTCGTTTGTTTTTTTTTTCAATAATTCGACTTGTTCAAATGCGTTTACCATGTGGATGCGAATGATCTTTAAATGGATAAGTGCACGTCATTGTGATCTCTCGGTGTTACCGTTGCTGTTGTAGTTTTTTTTTCACCGCCGAATACAATGGCCAAAATGTTAATCACCGCCCGATACCTGAATGCCTAAGTGCATAACATCAAATCGTATTGTTTCTTCTTGTTTGTGTCTCTGCTTGAACAGAAATCTCACAATGCACAATGATGAATCTTTCGTCTAGGCAGCAAACACATGGCAAAGAAGAGTGGAAGTGAACAGCGCTGCACAAAGCGCGCACGAACGAATGAACCAAAACGAACGAACAAGATGTAACAAGCAGAAGGCAAACGCAAGAGAAAAAGGTAAAAAAAAACAAGATGAACCGTGTGCATGTAGCAGCAGCAGCAGCTAGCAGCGGCTCGAGCGACGAAGAAGAAATGGGTCAATAGGTATAAAGCAATATCGTCGAGAGTCGTCTTTTTATTATGGTCTCGTGCATCGTTCGCTTCGGACGTGCGTAAATATTGTGTCAATATCGAGTGGAAATTATCACTGTTTTTTCCTACGAATTTTTCGTTTAACCACAGAGTGCTTGTGTGTACCAACAAAACCTCTACGCACGATCGCTCATCGGTTTTGCAAGTGTAACTGTTTCAAGTGAAGGAAAATCATTTTGCTTTCATTCGTACTGCCGCCGTTTTGAAACATTTGAATTAAACGATCGCTCCGTTTTCCAACGGAAATGATCACCGAGCATCAGTGAACATTTTTGACGCAGTGAACGAAATCGAACAAAAAGCGTATCAAATTGAAGCAGATCATATTAATAAAAATAAATTATATCAAACAGCTGCCGAAAATTGTTGGAACCTAGTGGCTATTTTTAGTGATTGAATTTTCGCGCATCACATTCACTCAATGTGACAATTTACAAACTTTTGTGAATCGGAAAAAACAAAGTTTTTCAAAAAAAAAACCAAGAAAAAACGTGGAAAACACTTCCTTACGAAATCATCACATGGATGGAAATTTCTATGAAACAAGTACTGGATTTAATTGAATTTTTACAAGAGTTCGGTAACAACTCATTAATTTGGGGCCTGAAATACAAACAGTTTTTAAATAATTACTTCTTTTTTGTTCATCACGCAAAATAAGAAGAAAAAAAACGTTTGGTGGAATTTTCATACACCTCATTGGGATCTGTGGACAACAAGTGACGTTACAGGAGAAAATTGATTGAAAGTTATAGTTCGATAACATTGAATGAAAAGACGAATATTCATCTAATATAAATTAACGATCAGTGATTGAATCACTCTTCTCTCCTTTTCTTTGCCTGACTCATTGAACACACAGTGGTTTTATCTCAGTGGATTATCGAATGTATAATTTATGAAGCGAGCACCGGTTGCAACTATGTAATTACGATTCGACGTTTTTAATTTTGGGAAGTTTTATGAACAAAAATAAACATCTTTTGGATTTGATTTGGCGTCGACTAGTTCTTTAAAACGGAAATCATGTTGGTAAGTGCTCATTTACAGGTTACCTTTTCTATTTGATTCAATTATTAATGTGCATCAAACCAATTTTCGAATTTCATCTTATTTGTGTGATCGTTGCTGCTTTTATTGATCGCATCTATCATCGCTGCACTCTATGATGCACATCGTTGGTGTTCTGATAGGGCGCCTGTCGTCGATATTTGATCTCTGTATTTTCTCGTTCTGCTTTCTAATCAAGCCCACACTATTCGGATTTTAAAAGATTTCGGTTTTTCTCTATGAAAACCCATTCTCGCCACACCAGATAAACAACCTGCTCGTTATATTTGGGATGATTTATAGAAAAAATCCGATATCGGCAGAAAAGCATTAAAATGGAATTTCCTAACGATCTCGTCATTCCTACCGATTATTTCAACTTCGATTTCTACCGCTTTGACTTTGTCGAAGCCCACTTGAATGCACTAAACAGACTTCAGAAATGAAATTGATTATGGTTTTGGGATGGATTAATAGACCCCCACATCGAATTCCATTAAACGATTGTTTCGAGTAGAGCTGCTTGACTGCAGTAGGATTTTCATCGTGGATTTCAAGCTGTTTCTTTTCGTCGTCTCGATCTGACTTAATTATGCTCAGACATGATGATGGCTGGTTTATTGATTTTTTTTTAAATATTCTCGAATGTGGAAGCACAACATCAGCCATTTTAAGGTTCAACATCTATACAACTTAATATATAGAGCTAATAATAAACGATGAAAGTTATAATTGTCGATGATGGTGATCCAGATTGTTGTTCCAAAAAAAAATCGTCTCCATTCATGTTGTGTTCATAATGTTCTATTTGTAATCAGTTGTTCGATAATCTTCATTCCTTCAAAAAAAACTTTCATTGATCTAAAAATGGGCATTTTCGTTTTTTTTTTCGATGGCAGAATATGAAAATGATTTCTCTTCTTTGAAAATAAATAGAACTATTTCGATTTGAAACGAATAAAGATAATTTGAACGTTATTTAAATTCACTTTTCAATGCCGCTTGTGAGTCGCTGATGCCAATTGGAAAAAGTTTTCTGTGCGTCATATGTTGCCAGTGTTTATGTGGATGGTAGAAAGAAAATTTGTTCATAAAAGTCGTTCGTTCAAGAGTGCATTAGCGACGAGATTTGCGATTGGACAACTACCGGCACGAGTACGAGTGTACAAACCGTAATCATACCTGTATGATGCAAATATAAACGAACGAGCGAACAAACAAACGAAAACCATTTATCGAGCAATTTACACATTTCAAAGTCATGTTCGCTCTTTTGCATTGTGGCAAAGAGTACGCGAACGCGCGTACCTTTATACATCATCCATAAATTGGAATGAGAAAAAACGAAAGAAACCTCGACCGTGTAGTGGCACTATAAAAAGTGGCCAATGCAAAAGCCGTTTCTGCGGCCGCCGTAAACAATATTGCAATGTGTGTTTGCCATCATAGGTGATTCTTATGTAGCCAGCGTATAATTAATTTCCATTATTCATAGCGTTGTTTATGCATCAGCATCAGCATCAGTGTATTGGCATTGGCGAGACATAAATATTTTTCCTTAAACACTAGCTACGGGTTTGCGTGCATAGAAACCAATTTGATGTGTTTTTCTTTTGAAAACAGAATCAAAAGCCGAATGATTTGCAGTCTGCCCATTCATTGATAAAAGTGTTGGAGGAAAATAATCGCATGAAAAAAGCAACCAAAAACTAAAACTAGTGTATCAAAAGACCATTTCTCCAGATGTGTGTGTCTCTCTTTTTCCATAAAAACTTTTAGAAACTGCAAAAAAACCACAACACAAAACCGGCTTTGATATAAAATGTGAAAATCGCTCGGTCATTTGATTAATTCGATGAGATTATGTGTGTACATTATATTAAATTATAATAAATGAAATATTTTCACAATATTGTTTTTGCGTTTGCGGTGCAACAAGAACCCACCATCTGATGATCAGATGCAATACGAATTCAAAGCCAACTACAGTCATTATCATACTTCGATTTCGAAGTCAGTGAAATTAAACATTAAAATTCCAAAGTGCGCTTAAACGTGCGCCCGACTGACAGACAAACAGTCCCGTTTGCTGAATTGAAATGTGAATTGTTTTTCGCTGTCACTATCAACGACCAATTAATTGAAGTTAAGTTTTTAAGTAAAATCTCTTCGCTTCGTCGACTATTCATTGAAGTGTCAACGGTACTCGTGCGCACTGACCGAAATGCAAATGCATCACGCTGAAAACAATAAGATGTCAAGCTTTATTGTAATTGCAGAAAAAGAAGAAGTTCAAAACGGTGAACTTAAATATGCGGAAATGAGTATACAATCGCCAATTTATAGCTCGGAACTTTGCAAGTGGACCGTTTCACTGTAGCCTCATGAATTAATCAAGCCACTTCATTTCACTTTTATTTGCTCGAGCATTTATTTTATTTACCCACGCATTTCTCTGTGTATTTGCTTTGAAATAAACGCGTCACACATACGCAAAGCTCAATGATCAACAGTCAAACAGAATGAAAACAACGGACAAACAATAACAAATAAAGATTGAAAATAAACCTTTTCAGATCGGACGCCGACTTGTCGAACGCGATATATGTCTTAAGATTGATTTTATAGAGAGAAAGAAAAATATTTTTTTTGTTTCTATTTTCTTTTTTCCCTTGAAATACGTAGAACAAAACACTTCAACTATAAGTAATCGTTTTGAGATGATGTTTGTCGGCTCTTTGAAAAATCAAGCGAAAAAAAGAGGAAAGAAATGCAAAAGTTCATGTGTAGCACTCTTCGGAACAGGTATTTCTTATTTTTATGGCCGATTCGAATCGTTTGACTCATAGTAACCATGAGAGAGTTTTCATTCAAAAATTAAACAATTCCTATCTAATTGCCACTCGTTTTTCGGATATTTTCTCCCTACGCTACTCTCTTCATTCAACTCAAAAAATTTTAACCGACAAATTTTTCGCACGTAATTTTGAAATAGATACAAACCTGCGGATAATTAAATAAGACTGCATGCATCAGTGCTTCTTGTTACATCTGTTAGCCGCTCGTTGGTTTCGAAAATGAAACTCTCGGCATGAGTATTTTTGATCGATTACCTCATGAACAAACCTCATTGCCTGTTTTGTTTATTTTTTCTTCTTCTTATTTTTCGAGGACCGTTAAAATTAGGTGTTCTTATAACCCAATTTTGGCAAAATTTCTTTTTTTCGCACTTTTCTGTTGACTTCACACACTGCAATCGATTTTTTGTTCACCATCGATTCAATGATCGGTATTTTTTCCTTCATTAAAATGAAATTTTATCAAAACCTCAAGTAAATTTCGCACCAAAGAGAGAATTGACGATCAACCATGTAAATTGTCGTCATTAAGCAGCAAATCAATCATAAAAGTCGAATAAAATCATATTTTATACATACACTGTGATATTATTGCCAAGCCCAAACCATCACAAAATTATTTGCCAACAATTAAAATACAACGATAAAATCTCAATCGTATTTTAATATGAAAATTTTAATGAGATTTTCACCGCTTGCACGTATATAATTAAACGATATTTAGTTTTTAATTTAAGAAAAAAATATTTTCTTTCGTCTGCCATTTCTGCGGCGCATCAATTTCGAAATACATGATGATGCTTTTGTCCTTTTGTTTTTCATTAGCAATTTTCCATTTTGGTTGGAATGAAATTGGCTTTGAAAGTTTATTCAACTATATTTCATTTGATTGAGCTGTGATGCGCGAGCGCACCGACCGATTTTCACGTTTGCATGTGAATCCAATAAACAGACACATCAATTTGTAAATATCATCATTAAATGAAAAACGAACGTTTCTTTTTCGCTGCGATTGTGATCATTTGATTTGACATTTAAAAAATAAAAAAAAAATCGAAATTTAAATCTAAGCAGAAGGCGAAATCTTTTATTATTGTTCATATTCGGTTTAAATTTGTTTTTCGTTGGTGTGGCTTAGTGACTTTGCTGCGGGCATATTTTGGTGTTGCGTGAAATGAGCTTGAGAATTCCACAAAAATATGTATGTGTTTGCACGATTTCAATTTCACTTATTTCGTGATTCCATCAGCACATCCGTTCAGTTTGGAAGTTTTGTAGGTTCGGCACATCGTTGTTCACTTCATAGTATCGCAAATATAAATATTGATGTTGCTGATAAAAATCGTCGCACTGAAATTAGAAATTTCGTAAAAGTTTCGACCAAGAACAATTAGTGTCGATTTTTGTAAGAGGTCAAGTGTTTGATGTATACAAACAGACATTCGTTTTGAATTTCACTACCAAGAAATTCCACCGTTATTCTATTTCGAGTTTAGAAGAAAAAGAGAGAAAAAAATATTGTTCGCATTTCCATGCCGGATCAATTGAATAGAGATATACAAAGCGATGGAAAAAAAAGTGAAACGGCAATCAGTCTTGAACGGTGCTGTGTGTAGCGTTACCGAGCTAAGAAATCTAATTTAATAATGTCAATAAGTGTAGCAGCACATACAAAAAAGGAAAAGCTGAAGGTTGAATGTTGCATGTGCGACCGATACACGAATGCAGGCGATAAGAAAAAAGACGAAAGAGGGAGAGAAAAAAATCGTATCTAATGCACAAATAGTTGTAGAAGATGAGAAGCAGATTGCTGAGTGTGTGCATTAAGCTTATTGGCGTTTTTTTCGCTTCAGATTCTTTCTTTCGTTCGTCTTAGTTTGTCGTACAATTTAACAACTTTCATTCATAGACCCACTGTAGTTCGCAATGCAGCAGTCGCGCCGCTGTGCACTGCATGTGTCTGATGGATTGCACTGAATGCATAATGAAGTGAGAAACAGAAAAAGCATACACTTACACATATCCAACTTATTAATTTCATTTTATTAAATTTGTTTTGTTTAGTTTTCTTTTCTTTTACTCTCATTGAATCTCCCTCGTCGCAAACAATATACACTTGAAATT